TTCTGGATGACCTTGGGGACAGAAGAGGATATTCTCATTTGAAGGAGAAAGCTCTAGATCGCATCAAGTGGAGGAAGTGTTTTGGAAGAGACTGTGGACCTGTCGTCTGACAGATTACAGATGATGATGATTCAACAACAAACAATTGTCTATCTATAAGCAATCGATTCCGTTTCTAAGGTAACTTAATCAAGGCCGGTCGCACGTATATCAAAAAGTACGTGCAACTTCTTTCCACATATGCAAATATATCCAATTTCTTTTTTTGCCAAATTTCAGTTTTTAAAAAAATAAAAGGATCTTTATGAGATCGCTTTGCTTTCTTTGTGTCTGTGTGACTTTGTATGCCTTCTCAAATTCCTGAAAACGTAATGGTGAAGCCAGAAGAGACGGCCGTTACAATAACTTATCTACATATACATAACATGTGGCATGACGCCTGAAAGCTGGAATTCCGACTTTCTCCTGCGTATAATTTGGGTGGTAACATAGAGGAAACTCCGCATCCTACAGTTCCTAAGTTGTTGACATAAAGCTCGGTTGCTAGACAACGGCTCGGTAAACGCGATTCCGCGGCAACAAATATACATGCAACAATATTACAAAAGATTAATTATTTCCGTTTAATGTGACCGATGAAGTTCTTTTTTTTAATCTTTTATCCTTCTACAGACCGTCTTCAGAAGGATATCAGTACAACAAGAAACTCCTATTACAATATGTTTTTTTAATATTTACGTATACATACAATGTCATCACAATACAATGAGTACAAATCTAATATTTTTAACAGCTACAGCGGCTTGTATCAACACGTTAAAATATTTATTACAGTTAGTATTTTTAAAAAAGATTATTTTTGTTAAAATTTTTAAAAAAAATCAGTTCCTGTTTTTTTATTTCTCTTTGAAGGAAGTCAAGCGCCTAAAGCCTTGTNTTAGTATTTTTAAAAAAGATTATTTTTGTTAAAATTTAAAAAAAAAATCAGTTCCTGTTTTTTTTTATTTTTTCTCTTTGAAGGAAGTCAAGCGCCTAAAGCCTTGTGGTGCTGTTTGGAGCAGAGATTTCTGTAGTATTTCCGTAATCCCTAATTAAACATACACTCAACGATAGTAAGCGATTAGTTATTCCAACAGTCTCTTTTTCTATGGTATCTCGTTTGTGAGAGGTCTTGAAATTGACTGATCTTTCAGCACAAAAATTTATATTAAATGTCAGAGAGATTCATATTTTTCAGAAAACAATTCTGAATTGAAAAAAAGTACAAAGGACGTAACAAAATTTAAGAAAGGGGAAGAGGAGTGAATTAATTAATTTAATAACAAAGTCCAGATTTTCAATTTAACTAGTGAGTTCACGCAGAAATTTTGTAGGTAATACACGTATATGAAAAACCAATTTGGAAACGAGGGCAATAACTAGAAGTGAATAGATCATGTTTAAGGTTCCCCACTTGTAGTATTTTGCTATTTAATGGAAAGTCTGTAATGCAAATGTACAATTTAAAGAACAACCCAACCTACAATATTCTGTACAAGCTTACAAGTGGCATCATAATAAGAAGAAAAACGACTTATTTGCTACATTTCATTGTTTATTTGTTCTTACTTACATATCAGATTTATAACGAAGGTTGAAAATAACCACCGCCTTCTCGAAGACTCTCCACTTACTTTGTTGTGCTTCGTGTGAACAAGGCGATGAAACTTCCGGTTCCAAAAAATGTTGGGAAATTCTTGACTAGATGAGCGACTGGTGGCTTCTCAAGAAGGACTCAGTTCCATGGAGTTAGCTGGTTATTTGTTTAGCTAATTACTTATGTGTCTCGGACTAGAAATCCATCCTTCCTTTGAGTTAAGTTTCCTGTGAGGTACGGACTGAACTTCTATATACGAAAAGGATTAAGCAGAAATATCAGAATCCCACGATCCTTGTCTCAGGCCTCTGCTTCTTACGGTCGTCACATCTTTATTTTGACATTGTCCTTATCAGAAGGACAAGCGGGAGAAATCTGGGAAACTTATAACGAAAATATTCACTTTCTCCCAGCAATACAGTGTCTTGTCACTTTCATCTACACATCAAGATACAATAAGGATCATTATTCTTTGAATAAAATAAAAATTGATTGAAATTCAACAGCTCAGACTGGTACATTGTACGCCTGAAGATGACCCGTGTAATGATCGAAACATGTTGCGTCTTTAATAAACCTAATAAATCAGCAAATGTTGATGCAGTAGTACCTTCTTTGTTCTGATTACTGATTGTTGTGTAGACTGTACAGTCTATACCTTCTGTATCTTATTCATCCTCACTTCTACATAGTTGGTACCCCTCTCTGTTTTTCTCTGTCTCTCTTCAGGCTTTTGTTTGTTTCTTACATACAGACTTTAAATGTTAAAGAAACTCTACATAATTGTTTAAACAATTAGTATTAGATGTGGTTTCCAGGATATTCTACTCAGTTATTTGATACGTCATTCAGTGAAAATGAAATCCCACCTGTAAATTTTAGGACATTTTTCCAACATGTCTATCATATCTTCCACATCCTTAAATTCCCCATTCAGTAATCCTCTTCGTTCAAGTAGAAGCTGAGTTCGAGTTTCGAGATAACAGCGCACTCCATTCTCAGTTGCGTCATCAATCCTGAAGGACTTCAACCTACCATCAAGGTGCCCAAGAAGTCTGTAAAACTGTGAAGTCTTGACCAGAGTATCCATTAGTTCCAAGTTAAACAATTTGGGGCAAACTTCAAGAATCCCCTTCAGAATATTTCCGTTTACTTCTTTTTTTCTCATTGACCCTCGACAGCTTATCATTTTGATTGTCTCTATACGTCGATTTGATTTATAGACTTGTCGAAGAATAGCATCACTGTCACGTCTACGTTTCAAAATCAGTCTGCGCAACAGAGGTGACCTGTGCAGTAACTTACACGCAAGGGATGTAGGAATATCTTTATACCTGAATGACAATTCCATCCAAAGGGACGGATGTCTGGCTAGAATGTCCCACTTCTTGCACACAAGAGGCACACGTTCGTAGAGGTCTCTCACACCAAGCCAAGAAAATATCTCAAGCAGTAGTTCCGGGGGAAGATCCGTGATGTTTATTTGTGAGCTTCCTGATTTTTTCCCAGCGTCTTCCTCTATTGTTTCCATAAGAGACTTCTCGGTTTCACTCATAGTAGTTCTCCTTAATTTTGCTTCAGTGTCAGTTAGTTTGCAGCTTTCGTACTTCCTTTTCATATTTTAAACATGACAAGGACGTTCAGTTTAAGTAAATTGTTCTCAGTTTGTGCGCAGAAGGAATAAACAGAACACATTTCCATGACAACCATCGCCTCAAACAAAAGAAAGAACCGTAGTTACAAGAATTTCTTGGCAGAACTAACCGCCTCGTTTCCTTAGATGCGACGTGTCCAACAATTCTTCTGTTGTTGCGTGTGCTTTCGTTGCGGAGGAAACGTATTTGCCGGGCCGTTGAATGGTAACGTTGGGGAGACATAGAATCTAATAGTTTTATCGGTGATGTAACAATCTCCTTCATTGGCTGTTGATGACGAACTCTCGAAAATGTTTAGACACAATTTACATTCATTTTAATTTGGTAATCCGCCTCAGGTATCCCTATTTTGGCGTAGGGGTGGGGTTGGCGTGGTAATGTTTTAGAGTGTACAGCCGTTGCTATGCAATGACAGAGAGATAAGGGGAATAAACAGCGAACGTTTCTAGAAAACGGCTTGGTAAACACGTTCCGCGGTAAGAAATACTCACGCTACAATAGAATAACAGCGTTTTCTATGTGATCCGTGCCGAAAAGTTATAACTAGGAGAGTTGCAGCAGTGTGATTCGCCCGTGTGGAGGCGGGGTCTAATACCTCCACCGTGACCCTGCGAGCCGTAGGAGGCGACGAAAATGTGAGACAGTAAAATATGGTCGCGAGTCCCAAGGGACTCGGACGGTAGAAACACTGTGCTGGCAAGGGCCAGCAGCATATACAAAGACAGACCCATCATCTCGTCAGAGAGGGCGCCCCAAACTGACTGACTGACGAAAAGTCGCAATGTGACTTAGACTTTGATTTTTATTTTGACTTTGACTTTAACTTTGACAATGAGTTCACTTAAGTTCTACAAGGGGAGGCTGAGAAGATATGGCTTTTCATTTCTGTTGACAGTTCAGTTGTAGAATATTCGCCTGACAGTAACGACTTAAACACAGAAGTTGAAGAATTCCCATTTTTGAGAGCTGTTACCAAGCAACTACTAGTGAAGACTCTGCAGTCAGGAGTAGACTTAGTGTGTAATGATTTGTAAAGTGTGTAGATCAGCGATAGAGCTGTAATTCCTTATAGCTCTGAGTCGTGTGTATAATTGGTCCATAAATCCATTCATAAATCCAAACCCCGTCTATAATCACGTCCCTAAATCGTGACAATATAATCATGAGGGCTATGCTGGCGGTAGCATAGATCCTGGTACGGTCTCCCTCGTCAGACAGATCAAAACTAAAGTTCGTGCCAAAAAGGGATACCCATATCCTCTAGGTTTTTGCATTGCGGATAGGGTTGATAACCCCACATCATAAAAATCCTCAAATTTAGGGAAGCTTTTAACGATTGCAGCGGGACGGAAACACAAAATTGGAGACGAAAGTCACAGGATCGGAACCAACTGCGATCAATGGCCAGGGTTCAGCATGGACTACAGCGCCCGCAGGAAAAGAAGACAAATTTAGTAATGTCTCAAGATCCCAGTACAACAATGGCAACTTTGTATCTTCCGATTGCTTCCAGTTCACACTGCATATTTTATTGTGGTCTGTTGTTAGATTATTTCCGACGTCCATCGACTGGGCGCTAGACAAAGCATATTGCCATAGGAAATGTGGTATCTTCTGAAAATGTAAGTTTAATAACAACCGATTCAAACACTGAAATTTAGTTAGAAAGGCCCGTTTAGTCACTTGAGAATAGCGTTTGTTTCTTGGGACTGAGCAATATGTTTTCCTCGGGATCTGTTTGCTCTAGTTTCTTGTTGTATTGGACTTTTCTCTTGGAGGAATGGTCTTGCATTGAATGCCCGGGTGAATGTCTCCTGTTAAAAGAGAACAAATAAATTTCGGTCCACAATTATTAATTATTCCCTATAATATTCTTCATTGTCATCAACTAACTGAAAACTAATTACATTTCATAGCCCATGCGATTAGTTCTCGACTTCCCACCACGAGGGCCCGGTTTCGAGCCCAGGTCAGGTCATATGAAATTTGTGATGGACACAGTGGCTTTGGGGCAGGATTTCTCCGAGTACTTCGGGTTCCCCTGCCAATTCTCATTCCACAGACTGCTCCACGTTCATCACCTATCATCTGGAACTGGTAAAATAGGCCAGAAGTGGCCGACGTACCGAGTGGACTCAGTCTCACCCCACCACAAGAAACTAAAAAAAGTAATTACACTTACAGCTGGATACAACACGGGAATCACAACATAATTTGAACATAATCCTACATAACTGCAATGTCATAACTCAAGCCATTTCTCGCCGGGGTATCGAAAAGATAGCGTCATGCAATGAAAAGTCAAATAATGCCCAAATTGCTGGTATAATGAGAAGGATGTGTTGACTTATCATGATGCTGGTGGTAATAATGATTACCTTTCTTTGTGATGTACTTGCTTATATTCGAATATCTTGTGCGCGTACGTAGATGCCACTAAGATGAGACCCAGCAATAGAAATCCCGCGAAGAAATACAGTCCTATGGCGGGTAACCTGATGACCAGGCCGATGTACTTAATGTAATCTTGAGGCAGAGTGAACCGCTTGTCAAACCATACTGTCGGGACCATTACTGTCGGAACGTCTCGGTACAAGCTGCAATACGAAAGATTTGGTTGAGCCACTATGCTACAAGCCGGAAGGTCGCGCGTTCAAGTCCCGATGAGGTCATTGGATTTTTTTTTCAATTGACCTAATCCTTCCAGCCGCACTATGACCCTGGCGTCGACTCAGCCTCTAACAGAAATGAGTACCAGGAATAGTCTTGGAATTTTCTTGGGGGTAAAGGGCGACCGGTGCGTAAGGCTGACAACAGTACCGCCATCTGTGAGCCGATTGTCTAGATAATGTGGGAACCTCAACATCTCACAACCCTATGGGCCTCCACGGCCTGTTACAAGGAAACCTTTATTTTTTTACTTCATTATTTCTGAATTTCTCATACATACCAAATTCAAGGACGATCCCTCTTTATTTCTCATACTCACGGAATTAAAAAAAAAATAATTTTCGTGATCTTCCATACATAGAACTGACATAGAGTTGCCATCGTAATTTCTCATACATAGAATATTCAGAGAGGAGCTCCTCCCTTCTTGATTTTTCATATATATATAGCTGATGATTATTTAATTTGCAGATACGAATCTACCGTTTATATGAATTTTGATGCACAACTTCATATTATTTTTCTCATATTTGTTAAATAATAACCACATCGTAAACACTTTCAAACAAACACTTTAAATCAAACAAAAGAAAGAATAAATTCCGTGGTCTGTAGTCCGCAAGCGAACTATACCGACCGAGCAAATGCCGCTTGTCGGCGAAGTTAGTGCCAGTTTTAATGGCTAGAGGGTGCCGTGCGGTCAGCGCAACGGATCCCCACGGCCGTTAATCTCAGTTTTCTAGACCGGAGGCGCTACTCACTTGAAATAGCTCCTCAATTATCCTCACGAGGCTGATTGGACCCCGTTTCAGACCCACTATTTCTCAGAAAATGTGGTAGCGCCGGGAATCGAACCCAGGACTCTGGATCTGTAGCCATGAACTCTGACCACTAGACCACAGAAAATCATCAAGAAATATACGTTTTTTTACACATTGGCTTTCTTCTTATGTGATGATTGCAGCTTTAGAGAAAAGTGAGCAATTAAGGCGTGTTCACACATCTGATTCATATTAGGGTTTTAATAAATATATTAGGAATGAGATTTTAAGGTGGAAAGTTACATATGGAATAATTATTACTACTATGAAGTTATCCTTTACAATTAAGAACTGTATATTCACACGTAACTCCTGACTGTTAGGTGACATTCGCATTGAAACGAAGCCAGAACTAGTCATTCTTGAGAAGGGAATATTCGTTCAGATGGTAGGAGATTCCACACGTCTTATTGAACTAGTGCCAGCTGAATCCATTGCACACCAACATATCTTATTTATTTAAATTCCATTTCAGTGTTATCCTCCAGTCTGTGCCCAAAACTACAAAGAAATCTCTTTCGTTTAGATTCTTCAATCAAATTTGTATCTGTTTTTTCATCTCAACGAGTGCGTGTGGGAAATTACCAAAAAATTCAGGACCTCGTGTTCCTGCTGCCTTGTGGTTCAGTGGCGTTCTGTTTCACATTTCATCAAAGATTTCATCGTATATTTCACGTGTCACCCTCAGGCTGAGTATGTAAACCACATTCGTCATAAATATATACGTTGGAACATTAGTAAAACGCCAACGCAGGGTATTACAAAATTAACAAAGCCAAAGATAGGGGCGTATTTACTGAATAATGTTCATATACAGAAAACTTAATATGTAAGATTTGAGGCTTTCACGGCGGTGACTATGAAGAAAGCAGTCTTCTGGGATTTGGCACCGTGTATATGTGGTGTTAACCGACGTTTCGGAGGAACGTATCGCCTCCATCTTCAGGGTAGAAGAAAAATATAAGAAATCTGCTTCTACCGGTTCTCACGGTCTCTCCGCTTGCAGATTTCTTATATTTTTCTTCTACCCTGAAGATGGAGGCGATACGTTCCTCCGAAACGTCGGTTAACACCACATATACACGGTGCCAAATCCCAGAAGACTGCTTTCTTCAGAAAACTTAATGTTGAGTTCAATTTCATCGAGAAATTAAAAGCTTTCTTACCCTATTTTGCGGTTTTCTTGCAGTAAGAGGTTGTACTGTAAACGGAAAGCGCCAGTCATGGGAATACCAGTTGTCTGCAACAGAGTGAATACATGTATCAACAAACATCATAAATACCATGAGTGCAGTTTTCATAATTCCACAAATTTTATTTTCTTTGCATCCCATAAAATCTTACATGGATTCTGTTGAAATTTAATAATGAAGGTTTTTACTAGTTTCGCTTTTAATTATTCCTGTTTCTATTCGTACCTCACAGGAAACATATTAAGTCTCCTCTACAAAGCCCAACCGGTTAATGCAGATTCGTGCCTAAGCGGAACGCATTTTCAATCCAAAACACAGGAAGGCATTAGCGTTTTCTTTCACGTTACTTCGTACACGCATTTTTTCCGACATTTTGTTAACATAAGGAACATACACTAAGATCGAAATGACGTAACAGACACTAAGTGTTTATCGCTTTCACCTACACAACATCTCATCTGTGTGGGACTTCTCATTCTCACGGCGATGAATATTAAGTATACTGGTCTTTGGACCGTGACGCCGTGTAGCTAGGTGAAATGTTAGTGGCAATTTAGAAGGANCGAAACGTCGGTTAACACCACTTATACACGGTGCCAAATCCCAGAAGACTGCTTTCTTCATAGTCACCGCCGTGAAAGCCTCAAATCTTACATAGAAGGAATGTGTTGACTTCACACTAATGTTAAATAGATTGTTTGTATTTACAGCTTGCATTCTTCCTGGTTAGTGTACCGTACCGTGTCCCACTGCAGTATGTTTGCACTTACTGGTTCCACAGTCAGTTCCGTGGTGTGGATCGCTGGATCTGGATTCATGCCATTAATTTGTCGTCTGTAGTATGGATCTGCACTGAGGAAATGGGGGTAGGATATGTAAAAAGGGGCATTCGACAGGCATGTTGTTGAGTTCATAATTCCCTGGGGAAGACAGACTCCCGCACAATTGCACCACGTTTCGGGATCTGTGGTGCCGTTGTCTAGGAAGTTTTTTCTCAACTGGTAGCGGTAACCACTGACACCGTTCACCATTGCGTCTTCCACATAGTCAAACTGAACAGCTCTGTGAGGAAATTGAGAAATAAAGAAAATTATGGGCGAATAAAAGATGTATGTGTGAATATATGAAAAAAATGAAATAAAATGAATATATAATCGAAGGAAGAAAGAAGGACAAACAGATAACGCGAGAAGAAGAGAGGTAGGAGGAAGACAAACGCAAAAGAAAGAGTGAAGAAAAATAAGAAATCAGAGGAAGACGGACAGAAAGAAAAGGGAGAAAAGAAAATTGAGAGAGATAGCAATGGAAAAGGGATAAAACAAAAATAAGAGTAAAATAAAAGGAAAGGATAGGGGAAGTCCGGGAAAAGAATACAAGACAGAAAAGATGAAGAAGGGTGAAGAAGAGAGAGAAGGGAAAGATCCATATTTATATGCCACCTCGAACATTACAGCTCAGCTTCGAGACGAAACATTTCAGTTTAAGCTCAATACTACACATGCCACTCAATTCTCTTTCGATTTTAAAAACATGGGAATGGAGGCTATCCCACCTGACATCCCATTTTTCATCTATGATTCATTAATTCATCAGCAATCTGTCAGACGACAGATAATATGATAATGGGAACGAAATATGATATTATTGTATATGATATTTTATGTGAAAGTAATTAGTTACCTGCAAAAATCCGCAAAATATAAGTCTACGGGCTTTTCCCTGGTCAGCATTGTGCCAAGAAATTCTCCAACAGAACCCATGATCCTCCCGCAGTCTGCTTCGAAGACATGCGACTGGTTACCGTAATTATGGTAATGAACTTTGCCCATTTTCGAGAGGTCTTCTTCTCCTGTGTCCACATTCATTACGCCCTCTATCGTGGCAGATCCATTTCTTTCAAAGATTAATCCGATTTTGTTCGACGATCTTCCAGAAGTTAATGACCATGGTATCATATTTGACAGTGTGAGGAGAGGTTCGGTGTACCCATGAACCAGGTATTCTCCAACAGATCTGGTCATCCAGACAGACTTTCCGACCAATCGGAGGGTGGCTGAGAGGGGAAATGCTGAGAAGTAGCTCCAGTGCCTGGACATGTGACTCGCTGTCTGGAGAGAAATGAACAAGACCACATGTTTGAGTAGAAACACTTCACTACGAAGACGGAACAAGACAAAAGGTGAGAGCTGCTTTATAGCATGATATGTAGGGCACATCCTTGCAAGACACTCCATATGTAACGTTTAGTCCCTTTACTGGGTAATGACCTCGAAACAAACAACGAAACAACATCCGCTGCTAGGTAACAGATTGTTAGTAAGCAAGTATGCGCAGTTATTACTGAGTAGCGCCTTCTTAAACAAACGTGTTCCCACGAAAATGATTGGAGTACAATAAAGAACAGTGTTTTCTACGGGGTCCGTGCAGAGGTGTTATAGCCGAAACAAGTTTAGAAGTTAGTCAGTACCCCTGTGTGGAGGTGGGTTCGAATACTTCCAACGTGACTCTGCGAGTAGTAGGAGGCGACGAAAAGGAAAGTCTTAAATCTGAAACAGTAAAATATGGGCACGAGTACCAAGGGACTCGCTGAATTACACATTTTGAATATCACTGTAAGTTTAACACACATAAAGTCTTCTCTTCACAGACTCCCTTGCAGCTGACTGACTTCAAAGTCAAAGTCAAAGTCAAAGTCACATTGAGACTGACAGTCAGTCAGTCGCTAAGTCTTAGTGTCGAGCCCGATCTGGGGCTCATGGCCAGATATTTATTACTGTTTGACAGTTACGGTCTTGTTTTTGTGGGACGCCCTCTCTGATGAGAGGATGGGTCTGTCTTTTGTATATGCTGCTGGTCTTTTCCAGCGCAGTCTTTCTAGGGTCCGAGTTCGTTGGGACTCGCGACCATATTTTACTGTCTCAGATTTGAGACTTCTCTTTTCATCGCCTCCTACGACTCGCAGGGTCACGGTGGAGGTATTCGACCCCTCCTCCACACTGCTTATCTATCTCCTACCCATTACTGCCCCCTTCATAAAGTCGCGGCACGGACCACGCAGCACAGAAAACACAGCCCCTCTATTGTTGTAGAGGCGTGTTACCACGGAGTTGCCTAGCAAACAGTCTCGGCGGCAACCACACAGAAAACAACTTTCATTCTTGTCGCGTATTGTTGTAGGTTTTACCAAACAACAGGCTGTTTACCCATAATCTGTCTCCGCGGGAACGTGTTTAGCGAGTCGTTGCGCAGCAACGGCTCTATATGTCACAATATGTAAATAATAAACATTCGAAGCAATATGTCGAAGTACTAAGCGAATGACTGATGAGAAGAGGAGAGAGATAATTTAAATTTGATAAAATGCTGGCGGATCCAAATTTGACGAGTGGAAGTAAGAAGTGGGTTTTGAAAAACAGAAGTTCACAGTGTATAGAATAGGCTAGCTAAACGACGAATCACAATATAAGGACAGAACTTGGAATAAGTAAATGAACTGAGAAATTAACAAATAAGTAAAACTAAAAGGTTACAGCCTGTGGGTAGGACGAAAGACTGAGATAGGTGAAATACATCCTGGACTATAACAAGAAGTTCGGGGAAGAATTAACGGGCTACTTTTGGTCTTCATGTTACGCGGGCCGTGTAAACAAGGACCCCATATTAGATAAAAAAAAAGAGGGGCAAAAATTTGTAGTCACACAGACGCACAGGCAGACATGAACGAAATAGAAAACAAAAATATTTGAGGACACACATTCATAGAGACGCACATAGACAGACACAAACACGGACTGCATAGAAAACACAGACGCACAGATAGTAAGGTGATCTCATAAGCTTAATTTTATTTTTAAAAATAAGGAAAGTACAATAAAAATAGGAAAAAGAGACTAAAAAGACTAAGGACAGTTAGAAAGGCAGTTGAAGGGGAGCAAGACTGAAAGCCTATGCCTTGAATTTTATTACGATGATGATGACGTAGTGGGGAATGACTTTTGCTCTTGTTCGGTTACGTACCAAAGCTGCTATATCGAGTGTGGTGATATAATCATCTAGACTTCCATTGGAATTCTCAGCATCATAGTAGAAATGACGCACAAGCCGGTAAGACACAGTGTTGTTCGAATTCCACGTGACGTCCACTTTCTCTTGTGTCTCTCTGAGTGAAATAAACGGGGTATATAATCAGTTTTAATTTTGTCACAGGAATCAATATCAAATTTCCAAAATGTCGAATATATTAAGCCACGAAAGTAATATTTTATTAACTGTTCTGTGTAGCTTTAAAGCCTACTGTTTACATCAGAATATTAATATATTTTCATTCATTCATTCATCAATGACCCTACAGCCCTTTGTTGGGCCCTGGCCTCTTCCTTATTTTTTTAATTTTTTTACATAGACGGTAGGACTCCTTGGATGAGTGATCAGCCCGTCGCAAGGCTACTACCTTCACACAGGACAACACAAACACAGAATGAACGCACATGCAAACATTCATTCTTTGAGTGGAATTCGAACAGACGATCCCAGCGTTCGAGCGAGCGAAGACAGTTCATGCCTTAAACCTTGGGGCCACTGAGATAGAATATTAATATATTTTACACAAACTTAAATATTAGAGATCTAAGAGAGAATTGGGTAAAATAAATCTTACCGACGTCGATTCTTACTCTGAACATGAAATATTAATTACAAGAATTACAAAAAAGAGAAATCAGAGAAATACTTGAAAACAATAAAGATAAAGCAAAAAAAAAAAGAAAATAATTATTATTATACGAAGTTGAATTCCATAAATATGATACATTAATACAAATATTATGTTTCTGTACATCACGCATTGTCCATGTTCTTTATTTAAAATGCAACGTCTTAGAGACTGGATTCTGTCTCCATCTTAAGGTGGAAACATATTCCGTGGAGCCCAGTTGATAGAGCTAGTCCCTATCTTCAGACACCAGAACCAACACAAGACAGCATATATAAACCAAATACAACGTAAGCCATCACCAAGAGTTAAGACAGACATTAAAATATTAAAAATATAATTAATAAAATCTCATGGAATTTCACAGTGATAAATGAGTCAAAGTGAAGGTGGGGTGTACATCAGGAAAAAAAAAAACTGTGAAGTGAAGTGAAGTGAAGTGAAGTGAAGTGAAGTGAAGTGAAGTGAAGTGAAGTGAAAAGTTTTAAGGATGGGAGGAGTACGTAAGTGTAGCAAAGCGAAATGAAGGGAAAATGAGAACATGGCATTGCGCATTCATTGCTGTTAGTTTATTGCGGGGTGGAATTCAACTGGGTCCACTCGGCACGGCGGCCACTGATTGGCCTATTGCAGCCTGCCCCGGGTGATTATGATCATGAAGAATTTGGTGGAATGACGATTGGCAGAGGAAACCGAAGTACTCAGCGAAAACCTGCCCCAGCGCCACTTTGTCTACTATAAATCCAACTTGTCAGTCCTCGGGATCGAACCAGGGCCGCCGCGGTGGGAAGCCAGCGACTAACCGCTTGAGCTATGGCACGGCCTTCATTACTGTTAGTTTATTATACAGTATGTTTCACTTTTCTATTAACTTTTGTGTGCAATGTTTTGTTTGAACTTGTTTACGTGTGTTATTTGTCTCTTGTCTTGTTGTAGTACCACTGCCACCGGGTGTAATCCCATTTGCAGTTAAATAATAATAATAATAATAATAATAATAATAATAATAAAATATACTACGATTAAATTATTAGCTAATCGAACGAGTCAATGACGGCCTTAACTGAAATATTTTGCATTATTTCGCTGCTTACATGAAGTTGTAAGGGCCCAACTGAACGAGGTCAGGTTTGAAATCCCTTTCCATCATCTTGGCAGAATTCGTGCAGTTGAAGAGGTAGATGCTTGCGATTACAGGAACAGGGGACTTCTTCCAGTACTGGTAGAGTATGGCGGAAGGAGACAACTTCATTTCCTGAAGACAACATCAGTACCTCAGAAACATTACTTACATACTTATAGAGCTGAGCCCTTCTTGAGGAACCGCCAAATCTGCAGCTACTCTTGAATTTTACCAGCACTGTATAGAACCCGAAGGTTCATTACCGTGTTCACAAGAGCCCTCCACTGGTCCCTATCCTGAGCCAGATCAATCCAATCCATACCATCCCATACTATCTCTCTATGATCCATTTTAATATTGTCCACCCACATACGTCTTGGTCTTCCCATGGTCTCTTTTCTTCTGGCTTTCCCACTAATATCCTATATAACTTCCCCTTCTCCCCCATTCGTGCTACATGCCCTGCCCACCTCAGCATGCAGAGAATGCGTAAAGTGTTCAAGGAAGTGTTTGACTCTTGGCAGAGTTGCAGAAAAAAATGAAATGACTTTTACAATATATATACACGTATAAGTGTAGTGCCAGGGGGGGGGAGGAAGTAAAAGCAAAAATTGATGTGACCTCCATTAAAGACGTTTCTTGAGATACAAGCAAATCAATTAAAATGTTTGTTAAATGACGTCAGCCTGATGTTTACCTTTAGGAATTTTTCCTACTTCTAATTATTGACTGGTTTCTAAAGTTGTTTAACAATGCAAGTTTCTTACAAGCTAAAAAATATTTTCTGAAGCGTTACCCTTTTTATGTGTCTGAGTAAAACTGAATACGGATAATCAGATTTCCTTTAACTTCTGTGAAATAAGATATAAATATTCCGAGACGGTGTAAAAAAAATGTATTTAGGTTCCCATGGCAGTAACTACCTTGCTGTTAAAAGTAAACGCTGTTTATTCATTTCTATGATTTTAGAATAGATTAAACTGGTTTCATTATTGTAACATTTCTATACAACTATTAGAAATGGAATGCGTTTCAAAAGAAGTCGTTACATGAACGCCAACTTAATCCAACAAGAAGAATGAAATATGTTGGAAAACAAACATCGGCTGACACTCCTGATAACATTGTACGGCCGACCTGGTCATATTGTTTGGGATAGTTGTTTCTTTTGTCAGGATGGGTAACTCTTGTCTTACCACATAAGCCCAGATATCACGTGAACCTTTATTCTGCCAATGAGAAAATCACAAAGAGAAAAATAATTGCTTGACAAAATTGAATTAAATCAGTTAATTCTGCGGGTTTGCCCTCCTCTGTGATCTAGTGGTCAGAGTTCCTGGCTACAGATCCAGATATTCGGGTTCGATTCCCGGCGCTACCAGATTTTCTGAGAAGTAGTGAGTCTGCAACGGGGTCCATTCAACCTCGTGAGGTAGGTAGGTAAATTTAAGAACATCCTCCACTCTTACTGAAGCATCACGATATAAAGCGGATGAGGAAATATATGTTCCATAATTTCTTAATCTCGGCACCAGACGGAGAGGAGTGTCCAAATTTCTTTCAGGCAGCTTTATCCCCTAGGAAATTGGGTGAGCCCAGAGCTGGGAGCTGTGTAGGAGTGCGTAACTGAGTCACAGGCATTCCATGTTAAATTATCGAACTGGTAAATAATGTACAATTTTTCAAAAACCCGAAGGGACTTTGAGGACACCTGTACATTGTGGCCTGATGACTGACGAAGACAAGTATTGTTTGGTGATGACTCGATAAACAAGTCTCCTCGACAACAAGTAAACACACAAAAATAAAGGAACTGTTGGAGAAAAAAATGTTCTCTATTCGGTGCGAATGTGAACGACAGACCCGTCCTCTCGTCAGAGATTTTATCCCACGTGAACGAACCCGCAACTGTCAGAAAGTAACAAAAATCTGGTCTTGGGTCCCAGAAGTGGCTTGACACCAAGACAGACTGTCCTACTGACCGTCGGTCGTAACATGTCTTTCATTTTGACTTTTGAGTTGTGGCCATTCCCACTTAGAGGCAGGTTCGAATACCTCCAGCGTAGCCTTGCAAGCCGTAGGAGGCGACGAAACGGGAACCCAGTTCCTGGAGGATATAAATACTGGGACTTGGCCTTCCACGTTGGGGGAGTCTCTACTCTGACATAGTAAAATACGTTCATGAGTCCCGCTGGACTCTTACCCGAGAATGACTGCCCTGACGAGGGCCAACAGCAATTGTAAACGATAGACCCGTCCTCTCGCCAGAGAGAGAGCCCCACATCAACCAACCCGCAACTATCTGACAGTAATAAAAATCTGTTCTTGGACACCACATGGGTGTTTGACACCAAGACAGACTGGCCGACTGACCGTCGGCCGTAACATAACTTTGACTTTGACTTGAGTTGAAATCAGTAGTATCTGAAGGCCAGTGGAGGCCAGCGAGAACCAGTGAGTAGTCAGTGACCGCTACCGACGACACGAGTTAGATGAGAGTCGACAGTTCAGCTATTTATTTGTGAGACGCTTGTTAGCCGCTAAGGGAATAAGTAGAAGATACTGTTGAGAGCCGTTACCAGGCAACGGACAGCGAAAACAGACGAGTTAGCTTTGCTGTAGTAGGAAGTAGAGTGCGCTAATTAGCGACTACCTTATAATTACTTACAGTTACGAGTTATAACTGTTCAATAAATCCAATTACCAATCCAAACCCAGTGTCTAGTCATTAACACATGACAACATAGAAGTTCTATGTAGAGTTTATGATAGTTAAACATTTTTGGGTGCATAACTAACGCACGGGAAGTGTCTTACCTTTGTCAAAATGTAATTATAAATGCTGGTCCAGCTGCACAGGAAGATCAGTCCCAGGATCGAGAGAGACGTACCGATGCACAGAAGCATAGAATGTCGCTGCATGGCGTTGTTAAGCGGAGCTCAGCAGTCAACTGTTAAAATAAGATGCCCAATAGCGCCTCTTTACCCATCAGGCACAAGCAACAATATCTGGAATTCCCACAGCAAGTAACATGGGACCATACAATCAGTATCGTAATATATTATTTAAGTTTAGTTACTTACAACTGACCCAGAATCATTCATCTTTCATGTATACCACCTCGTAACTCCACCCCTTGACTTTGAATTCAGGATATGGATTGAAAAATCACCTAATTGATTTGGTTATGGGGCATATCGAAATGCCGCTTAAATTTAGAATTAATATTTCATCATATATGAATCCTGTAGGTATGTGACCTCGTAAAAACAATAACCTAGAGTCATTATCCACATGTTCAAACTAAAATATTGTAACGGGTCTAGGTTGTAATACAATTTCTGATTATTTTAGGAAAGAGAACACAAATTCTTGAATACTAGGGAAACCGAAAACTTTCCATACTGACGAAACCGAGTATTGACTGCCTTAAAGAAATAGGGAATTTACAATACTAAGAAGACCATTTGGCGTTTCAGAATGTGTGTTATTTTGTCTGTGACAAAATGTAACCTTGTAAGCATATGGCAATATTTCGGTTGAATATTCTGCTTTCTTTTCAAGGTGGAAAGAAAGCATGTAGCTACAATACTACAAGGTGTCACAGCACAGAATACTACAATATTAAAACCCAATGACGTGAAAATCTTAAAATTTACAGGGCCTAACTTTAAGGCAGCGTCTACACGAGCGCACAAAATTCGTCTGCTGTAACGAACGTCGTGACGTCCGTTGTAGAAATAAACAAGAGAGGCGAATGCTACGCTTTCTTCTGGCTCTACTGCAGACAAAAAACTACGCACCGCATTCTGCAACTGTGTGGTGTCCTCAGTAACGTCCTCAGCAAAGTACGTTCGTTACAACGGACGCATTTTGTGCCCTCGTGTAGACGCTGCCTAACACATGCCAAAGTCTTCCAATTCGAGAGAAATTTTAGGACACAGTTGGGAAATTTTTTAATTTGTTCTTATATTATTTGTGATTTCATGAAGGAAAGGATGTTCTTTTTCATCTTATGTTTTCTTTCGTATTGAGAACCACTTTCGTACTTGTTCTATATTAATTTAATTACAGAATTGTAGGCGAGAAGTCACAGACACTTTCACACCAAGTTCATGTCTTGCTTTTTCAACACTTCGGCGCACGAATTGCTGCTGAATAACGTTTGAATAATTAGTTTCTACCTCACAGGATTCACACTGCCTCAATACCAAGCTGACTAACCGGTTAGTACCATTTAGAAGTCATCTCTATACACAGAATCATATTTTATTTTCCTTGGCACTACAGCCCCAGTGGGCCATGAACTTCTCCGTTCACTTCGGTTTTTCTAGATCTTACACATTCGGTAGGACTCCTTGGGCGGGTGATCAGCTCGTACACAAACACAGAAAAACGCACACACACAAACTAAACATCCATGCCCTGAGCGGGATTCGAACCGACGATCCCTGTTTCCAAGCGAGCGAAGACAGTACATGCCTTAGACCGCTCGGCTACCGTGACCGGCCCAACTAACCTTAAAGGATCAAAATAATTAATTACTAAATTTAATTAAGTTAAAATGAATTATAGTTTCTTACATTTCACTTCTACTGCAAAATTTCTATGGAAATAATAAAACAAAAAATAAGCTTCATTCACATTTCCCAGTGTTCGACATATAAATTCATAAACTTTACAAAATTGTTTGACACGTTCAACCCCTGATAATTTTGAGTACTTCTGTCCTGAACACAGTCGGGTCTGAATGTGTGAATGCACAGGTCTAGCTTGTATATAGCCAGTGGTTTTCGACATGACATTAGCATACTTGTTTGCAAATAAATTAAAGGCTCTTTTTTCAAGCGCCAATGTGAACAGTAATATAAGTTACATGAGAGGCACATTACAAATTGCAGTATTGCGTTTCAAGGCGGACCAGAATAAAATAAAACTTCAGCCATTCATACTTCAAGGTTAATTGAATATGCCAAGTGGGCTAAAAAGACATTAAGATATGCCTACAATTAAAAAATCTACTATTTACGAATTATTCTCTAAGTTGCTGATTGCTTCAAATGAAAATACAAAAAGTATGTTTACAACAGAAGAACAGTCCAATCATAATGACAGTGCCGCCTAAGGCATGACATACCTTCATTTGCTTGAACACTGCTATCATTGTTTCGAATTCAATTTGAGGCATGGCTGTTTTCCTGCGTTTATTCTGTGTTTGTTGTTCTATGTCGGTTGCGGTTTTGCGAATTCAAGGAGTCCTAACAACCGTCCGTAAAATTAATAGCTTTCAGGTTAACCCTAAACAAGAAAAGACCAAACGACGTCATCCATCAAGAAGAAGAAGATGTGAAAAATATTAGTTTTACGACTTTCTAGACAACAAAATGGAAACTATAAATAATACATGCGAGATACTGCAAATACGATAACTTCGAGTAATTAGGTTTCTTGCTTAGTTTCAATAAATGCTTTGAGTGAAGCTTACAATTATAAATACAAAGATATTTCTCTGTCTCCTGCATAAGTTTCATGTAATATGTCTTTGGCAATTGCAATCACACGCAGTAAAAATAACAGTTCGCTGCACATAACCTCACTATTGCTGTACGACTATGCATCTCGGATCGGTAACAAACCGATTCGTCCGATAGCGCTCAAGCGTGGTTGTGGGGATTGCTGAAACTAAAGTTTCAATCGTGTTTGTTGGAGGAGATCTTGTTTTCTTTTGTTAATTAACGACCCTGGCAGTATCGAGATCACACATAAATCGCTCATGACATGACCTTGGCCAGATTTTGAACGCAACAGTGGGAAACCGACAACTAACCGCCTAACCGTCTAACCGCCTAAGCCGTAGATCTCCAGCTGGAGATATCTCATAAAAGGCGACGGTACAGCCGCAAGTCCTACGTATCACAAAACCACTTCCATGCAAGTGGAAAACCAGCTTCAGTCACAGTATACTGTCTTCTGTGATGTGACGAGATGTAGTTCGGTAGACATTCATTGAAGCGTCGAGGGGACTGTTGCGTAAAAACCATCTTCTGCCCTGTCTAGGTTAGCAGGTGCAAAGTCTGGCTACACCACCTGCTACCTACATTAAATATGCTAACTCATAGTTCAAAGGTGGTATTTTATTTGCGTCGCCTCTTAATTTCACTTGCAATTATCTTTCTCGTTATAATCACGTATTAAGAGTCCCTTAGACCGCCTCTGTGGTCTAATGGTCAGAGTTCCTGGCTACAGATCCAGAGGTCTCTGTTTCGAATCCCGGCACTACCAGATTTTAAGATAAGTAGTGGGTCTGGAACGAGGTCCACTCAGCCTCGTGAGGATAATTGAGGAGCTATTTCAAGGAAATGGCGGCTCCGGTCTAGAAAACCGAGATTAACGGCCGTGAGGATTCGTTGCGCTGACCACGCGACATCCTCTATCCGCTACAGTTGGCGCGAGCGGCGGTCGCTCGGTCGGTATAGTTCGCCTGCAGGCTAAATAAATCGAGACATACTAGAGTTTTCTGTCTCAAACATCTTTGACGGAATAATCTGACAAGGAAACTTACGGAAGGCAATTTCTGAAGTCATTTCTACGCGATGTGTAGCACGTGTCCCACATCGCTTTCTTAGCTTCGTACGGACTAGGAAAGGAGGTAGTTTCACCACCAACTAGAGGTACAAAATCTGTCTTCGGGCAGGGATCGCTGCGAAAGAAAAAGAACAAGGTTTTTGTTTAAGGTCTTTCATTCTGGTCCGTCACATTTGACGGAAGAAACTTGATTTTTAAAATGTTTTTGTTAGTTATAACACTGCTTGGGATTTCATTTCGTCGTATATGAATTCTGTTATCAGGCTTCACACCATTTTTCAGAAAAATTCTGTCGTTCTTTGTTATGACTGTCCGCTCAGTGTGAATTTAGCGTTCTACTTATCGTATCCAGGGCCGGGCCATAGCTCAAGCGTATAGTCGCTGGCTTCCCACCTCGGCGACCCGGGTTCGATCCCGGGTATAGTCAAGTGGGATTTGTGTTGGACAAAGTGGCGCTGGGGCGGGTTTCCTCCGAGTACTTCGGTTTCCCTTGCCAATTTTCAATCCACCGAATTATACATCATCATAATCACCCGGGGCAGGTACAATAGGTCAATCAGTGGCCGCCGTTCCGAGTGGACCCAGCTGGACTCCAACCCCCACTAAGCGAAAATTACCGTATCCAAAAGAACTGTCCATGTGTAATATTATTAACATCCTGTTGCATTTTTCACTTAATGTCAATTATTCTTTTTTTGCAATCTCACGCACAACACAATATTATGTAAGATTTATTAAAAGATATTTCCTTTGAAAAGTTTATTACTACACGTTTCGACCTATGTGGTCATCATTGGGTGTTAACATTTTTGGACGTAGAAAATGCTGCCTTCTCTTTCGTTGGGTATTTTTTTAATATGTAAGTTCCCTCGATGCGCGTGTGTATCTAACATGTGTACGTTTTCTATTAGAATTCATGAGTGGGAATTTTCTTGTTTGTCATATAATTATCTGTTTGTGTACTTACTTAAGATTTTGGGTTGTGCTCTCTCCCGTTCTGCGTTGTGCTCCGTGTCTTGTTCTCGAATGCTTGCTGAGTTGGATTGGTTCTTATTTTATAATGTGAATGTGTCGCTATCTGTTGTTTCATTCTTGTGTTAACTCTAATATCGGATTATGGGTGTCGATTATTTGTAAGTCATCTTCACTCATTTTATATATATATTTCTCTAGTACGTTCAGGTGTTTTCGATTTTCTAGCCTTCATAGCGTCAGTTATGACCTCCTGTATGGTCTATTGGTCAGAGTTTCTGTCTATAGATCCAGACATCCGGGTTCGATTCCCGGTTCTACCGTATTTTCTGAGAAGTAGTGCGTCTGAAATGATGTCCACAACCTCGTGAGGATAACTTAGGAGCTATTTCAAGGAAATAGCGGTTCCGGTCTAGAAAACCGAAATTAACGGTGGTGGGGATTCGTTGCGCTGACCACGAGGTAGGTATCCTCTATTGGCTAAAGTTGGCACTAACTTCGCCGACAACCGGTGGTCGCTCGGTCGGTATAGTTGGCTTGCGGACTCAAGCCACGGGGTTCATAATGTCAGTTACAATTCCATATGCATATCCAGTATTTAATATATCCTTTGAATATCCTGGTTTACCGTTGTTATTCCCAACTGATTTTATATATTCTTTATATCTGGTTTGAAATGTTCGACCCGTTTGCCCTGTGTATTTTAGTGGGCAGTCCATACAACTAATTTGGTATAGGCCACTTCTTTCTTATCGATCTCTTTGCGGGCGGGGATTTACTAGATTCTGTATTGTTTTTTTGTTCCGAATGTGACCTTTGTTTGTGCTTCTTTAAAAAGTCTTGTGATTTATTTTGTCTTTTATACTGTAGTACTTTAAAATGCTCCATTTTGTTGCTTGGTGTTGTAGATTTGTGTTTTTGCTGTGCTTATGGCTCTTTAACGACTGATGACCTATTCTGTAATGGATTCTATAAACATTTTAAAAAGTACGCAACTGTAATAGTAGGTTTTACCGTGTTCGTTAGCATAAAAGGCGAGTCTATTTTTAGGTAACACTTCTTAGGAAGTAGAAGTTGCCTTATTTTCGGGTCCTTAAGGATATATATGAAAATGATTATGTGTTCTTATTGCCAATTTTAAGACAGTTATGAAACTGTATTGAATGATATTTAAGGCATTACATTTTTAGTTTTTTATTTCTCAGTAATATAATTTTTACTTATTTTTGCCTAATACCCTCAAAACCAAAGGCTGACAGCCTTACCGCCATCTTTGAGCCGATTGTCTAGATAATGTGGGACCCTCAACGTCTCACAACCCTATGGGCCTTCATGGCCTGGTACAGGGATAGCTTTACTTTACTTTTACCCTCAAAACTAAATTAAATATTCAAGTTTGTCATTCTGTTCTGATTTTTAAATGGAAAGACCTGGAGGTATGTCATATTCGGGCTTATACAGTGCTTTCTTAACCAATTATCCGTTCTGTCTTCTGAGCTATTACAGTCGATTTTCTGAACTAATTAATGATATCAGCAGCTGAAACAAGCAGGTAAGGTTTGAAATAACACTGACATATCTGTCTCGCCTTTGTCCAACATGAATAAGGCTGAGTCAGGTCGGATTTTTTGGTATCGATTCAGGTTTGGATGGGTTTCTTTTTTTTTTTTTAATTTGCTTAGTTTAGTCAAACTGGGTCCACTCGGCACGGAGGCCACTGATTGGCCTATTGTAGCCTGCCCGGGTGACTATGATGATGGAGAATCTGGTGCAATGAAGATTGGCAAGGGAAACCGAAGTACTCGGAGAAAACCCGCCCCAGCGCCACTTTTTCCACCACAAATCCCACTTCACCAGAACCGAGATCGAACCCGGACCGCAGTGGTGGGAAGCCAGCGATTAACCGCTTGAGCTATGGAGGCCTTGGGATATTGGTTCAGAAAACGTTGAGTCGTGTCGGGTTGGGTTGGGTTGGGTTGCATCAGCCCAGGTTGGGTCGGGTCGGGTCGGATCAGGCTAGGTTGTGTCTAGTCCAGTACCGTTGGATTTGGTTACATTAGTTTGGGTTGGTTGTGTCGGTTCAGTTTGAAATAGGTTGGTTGGATAAAGTTGGATTGGCTAGGTTACCTTCTGTTCTGTTCCGTCATTTGGGACATCGACTTACCCAAAACGAGTAAACAAAAAAAAACATTAAATAGTCGTTGGTCTGCAATGTCAACATTCACGCGCTAAGCGAATAGGTAAATGAACATATTAACATTTTTTACATAACCTAAAGAGCTTAGCTGCCACCTACACTATCCTGCTGAACTCAATATTACCTGGGTTTCGGAGTCGAATAGCAATAGACAGAATTACAGCATTCAGTCATATAATTTCAAACAATCTCTTATGCTTCAATCTTACTTCACAATTTCTAATACAAAATAGCGTTTATCAATAAAGTATTTGAATTACTCCAAGACGTTTATAATTCTGTCTTTCTTTCGCTTTCCATTCTCTCTATCTTCTTCCTTCTCATTACCTCCCTTGCACAAATATCGTTACGGGCATTAGTGAATTTATAGCTTACATCCACTAAAACTGCATTCACAAACTGCAGAACCGACAATATGAAATTTCCTGAATCACACAGGAAGGAAATATTAGAAAAAGAAATTTAAATTAGTCGCTTCTGTCCATACACAACACAAGCAATTTAAGGATGTTTGTTCCTTCTTCATTTCACGCCGATTTCAGTGACTCTTCAGTTGGAAATTGGGCCGTCCTCTTGTGATGTCACAGACACGCTTTCTGGCAATGGCATTAGTGGACGGATGCATTCCTTGGAGTAGGCGATTTGGGGCGGCTTCTTGTCTGATGGTATCCTATAAAACAATAGAGGGTTAGCCTAAAATAAATAGACACTTTCAAAGTTTTACAGAAAGAAGGGTTTCAATAACATGGCCGAGATACTTACATGGTTTGAAAAGTACGCCCTGAATTTTACATGGGTACACCTTTTTTTACGGGATACAGCACAAAAAAACGTTCACATCAGGTGAATCCCTCACATGCTCTACTACAGCTCTCGGGTTTTCAGTTCCCCATATACGGACATTGTGTTGGTTCACTTTACTACTAATGTGGAACGTTGATTCGTCGCCGAAAACTGCCGGCTAAAGAAAATCATTACTTCCTTCATTCTGTTGCTGCATGTCCATACAGAATGAGTGACGGAGGGTTTTGCCGTTTTCAGTGAGGTTCTGCAATAATCGCAGCCGGTAAGGGAACGCTCCTAAAGGTTTACTCAAGAGATTCCACACAGCCTTTTGTGGAACTTGAAGTTCGAAACTTGCACGTGTTGTCAACTTTTTGTTCTGCCGTGTAAGTTTCACGAACACGAGTCATTCAAACTGTCTATTTCTTTTAGGCTAACACTGTATATTGTTTGAATTCCCTACAGAACGGATAATACTTTGTAAGATGAGGCACCGACTAAATAATTAATATTAATATTACTACATATACATCACCAGCCTCCAAAACAATTCATTATATATATATACAAAATATCGAATACTCCAATTTGTCTGTGGGAACACAACAAAATCACAAAAAAACAAAGACTGAGTCGATAATGTAAAACATCACTCGAAGAATTTTATTCTTGTTTTATATTAAAACTATTGTTTTATATAATCTAATTTCTTGTATTTTTACGCCAAGTATTTTAATATAATTAATATTATTGTATCCAGTTTTATTAGTACTGCAGTTCAGTGGTGTGATGGCTTTTAATAGCCGAAACATGTAGCAATGCAAAACTAGGCACGAGTTTAATATTGTTGTGCTGTGACGGTTTTAATAAAGATATTGTTTCCGATTTATAATTCGTTTTAATTTCCCCCCAACACATCTCGGCTTATTTATTTCACCTTTTGCAAGAAGATCGGCTTTTTATAATATGTATGTGTCTTTAAGGAATGCATCCTGTTGTATGTTAGTACTATACATATATATATATGTATATATATGCGTGTGTTTTCGTTTTTCCTGTCAAACACAACAAAAACAAACACCAAATAACTGACATTCCAGTGTGCATATCTGAGTTTATTTGGTTGATTTGGTTTAGAAAGCACAATCGATGAAACAGATGTAACAGAGTAAGCTTGAATAAGACTACATATGCAACAACACACTCAACATACCTAACTACGACCCAGCACCAAATATTAACATTGTAAACAACATAAGAGAAGACAGATACATCGTATAAACAATATTTTCGAATCAATATAATAGCCAAAAAATAGTCACGAACAATAACAAGTCCAAAACGACCTTATTTAAATTAAGGACGAGAAAGTATCCAGACTATGATATTTCTATAAGCTTAATATTTTAACATTTTAGTAATATTGAAACGTTGGACATATTATTAATATTTTAATAAGTCTACATATTTGTCTGTCCAGTTTCCACAATAGAACAGCTTCTTTATGCCCTTCAATGATAAAATTGCAAATTACATCATTCTGTATATAGGTAAACTTTATTTCGTCTTAACGCAGAACCTTCTACTCTTTACATGAAAAATAATGGGTATTTTTTTCCGGGTCAGCCGGCTCTTTCTTGAAGTAAATATCCCATATTTCAACGTAGAGTGATTTTTCCAGTTAGCGCCTTCCTAACGGGAAATTAAGCGGTCGGGTCGGCCGGACTAGCCGTGAGAAGTGTTCAGCTCCTCCCGCCTGAGTGTCCCGCTCGCAAGAATCTTCGCTTGTGCATACCTTTTAATGCGACGTGGCAATGTCCATTTCTCGTTCCTAAGGATCCTGGGCACGAATTGTAATGCCACTATGACGATGCCTAGGCATACAAGGCCAAGAGAGCAGTAGAAACCCATGACTGGCAACATCAACAGCAGCCTAAGGTTTGCAGCAAGTTCCGGCGTTAGTGTGGCCCGCTGTTCAAACCACATCATCGGGAAGAATATGATAGGTACGTCATTGTACAGTCTGAAGCGAAACATGTAACAAACAATATGAGGAAATCTGGATGTCTGAACTTCAAGTAAGCTAATTTATTTTGAGATTAAGGAAACGAAATCACGAGGCACATAATAAAATGAACATAACATTATGTAATAAGTAAACAATATGTTTACATCGTGACGTGATGAAATGGCACAAATTCTATGAAAATAATATGTTGAACGACAAGGTGAAAGGATGGATAGACGAGATGAGTAATAGAGAGGAGTGGGGACTGGTTGTAGAGGAGGCCAAGGCTCACCCAGGGCTGTGGCGCCGAGTGGTAGGGTAGGTAGGTATACCGGCTGTTGATCTCTTCAGATTGAAACTTATACTGGGATGTATAGAATGTCGGATGAAAGGTATCCAAAATAAAAAAATGTATATCTCGGAAACTAATTGTCATACACGTATCCAGTTTATGTCATCGGAAAGGAAAACTCTGGAAGTCTTTTTTTCATACCAGGCTTACGCACATGCGCCGCCACATTTTTGCCGCCATGTTAGGAATTGCCTGGACAGAGAGATGGCTGGTACTTGGATCGGCAGAAATGAACCAATTATTTGGCCTCATAGGTCGCCAGATTTGACCCCACTGAATTTTTCTTGTGGGGTTATGTGAAAAACATTGTCTACAAGGTCAAGATCAACGACCTTCAACACCTGAAAGCTCGCATAAGGGTCACTGTGGCTACAGTAACACCGAAAATGCTTCAAACCTGGGTATTTGTAGTGCCACTAAGGGGGGTCACATTTAAATTTACTGAGAAAGTTGTATACGCAGAAAAAACTTTGATAGTTTCCCTTTGTAATGGTGTAACTCATTAATGTGTATAATAAATTCTTTCTGAGATATAATGATTTTATTTTGGATTACTTTCATCCGGACACCCTGTATCAGAATCAAATATCAAACGTTTTAATAAAGGTTTTATAATCACTTGTTGTGTTGTCGGCTCTCAAATAATACCTTTCCAATACATGATATTACACATCTCCCATCCGCGTGTTGACAATAAGTTTGATCTAACAGCCTTGAATTTCGCCTGCGGATGTAGTAATAACATATTCAAATCACCCTTACACTTCAACGGTTGTGTTTGACAAACAAAACACGCAACACTGAGATCAAGGCCGAAGAACTGCAATGTATTTTCCGTTTAAGGATGCTTGACTCCGCCTGTATGTAATGTCTCAAGCTCAAGCGTGGATGGAAGAATGTAGCACTGTTGTCAAATCTTTATTTCAACTTTGAATATTCACGCATGAGCCCATCACAGCGGTCGCTCGGTCTAAGGCATTAACTATACGTGTATTCGCCCGCTCGAACACTGAAATCGTGGGTTCGAATTCCACTTGAGGCATGGATATTTGTGTGTTTATTCTGTCTGTGTTGTTCCGTGTGTAGGTAGCGGCTTTGCGATGGGCTGATCCCCCGTCCAAGGAGTCCTATCGACTGTGCAAAACGATTAAAAAATCGAAAAAGAGGCCAAAGACCAACAAAGGGCTGTAGAGCCATGGGCAGATATCCACGCATATATTCGCAAGCTTGTTAAGATAAGTGTCTACATTATATCTGAGGGCGAAGAGAATTTCCAAATGCTTCATATGTATAGCTTCTGCAAAGAACCTGTGATAATTCAATGGGTATAGCGTATAGGTTACATGCTGAACAACAGAGGGGTCGGGGTTCAATTCTCAGGGGAAGGAAAAAGTTTGTCTCCTATCCACAGAGTCCAGACCGGCCCTGAGACCTGCCTAATGTCCAATCCAATGGGTACAAGGGACTCTTTCCCTCGGGGGTAAAGCGGCAGGGGCGTGAAGCTAACTCACCTCAATCTACTGCCGAGATCAGGAATGGTGGACCTATATGCTTTCATGACCTATTGCTGAATTACGTAAGTAAGCAGAGCGATAACTTGCATTTACCTTTACGTAACGAATAAAATCAACTGATTTGCGTTGCATATTATAAAGGCACGTGTCTCTTGTATATGTTTTCAGTTGACCTCGAAATATGGCGCATTTAGAGATTCAGAGGAATGCAATTCTTGGGATAATTTTCTAAGAATGTTTTTGATCTATCTTAAAGAATCAATGAGCCACACAGCTCGCGATACGCATCAGCTAGATCTGTGATTATTTTTCTTTATTGCTAGTGGGTGGGACTAAGTCCCTTGTACTGCGGCCACTTCTGGCCTATTGTACCAGCCCCAGATGATAGGTGAGGGTGGAGCAATTGGTGGAATGAAGATTGACAGAGGAAACCGAAGTACTCCGAGAATACATGCCCCAGCGTCTCTTTGTCCACCATAAATCCCACTTGACCAGACCCGGGATCAAACCCGGATCGCCGAGGTGAGATGCCAGCGACTAACCACTTGAGCTACGGCGCGGATAGATCTGTAACTAACTATAGTATCTTAGCATCCTGTTGCAGTTGGTGTAAAGCTATCCCTGTAACAGGCCATGGAGGCCCATAGGGTTGTGAGACGTCAAGGCTAACACATTTTCTAAACAGTCGGATCACAGATGGGACTGAAGTTGTCAGCCTTACGCGCCATCTATCCTTGTAACAGGCTGTGGAGGCCAACAGGGTTGTGACACGTCGAGGCTCACAGATGGCGGTAAGATTGCCAGCCTTACGCGCCTGCCGCCCTTTAACCCCAGGAAGATTCGTGGTACTCATTTCTGTTAGAGGCTGGGTCGACACAAGGGCCATAGTGAGGCTGGAAGAATTTAAGTCAATACAAAAATCCAATGACCTCATCGGAAATCGGTATTAGAATTAATTTTCAGTTGTTTACCGTCCACCATGCACTAACATGAAGATTTAAATTCAAATCCTTTTAAATTTCGCCACTGAACTGCACTGCCATCATCATGTGCTTGCAATTGCAGTAGCGCGGTGGGCACAGTAGTTCCCCCGAATTTCAACGCACCTGATGGTGGCCTAGTGGGCCGAAACGTATAGTGCAGTTAAGAATTTTAAAATGGAATTAATTTTAAACCTTGATATTAATTCATTGTAAATGGTAAACAACTCTCGTGTTCTGACTAACTTAATGAAACACAGATTTTCTCCGGACGCAAACAGTCGCTCAGGCAGTCAAGAGTTTGGCTGCCATTTATGGGTCATGAAACCGTGTAGTCTAGTTACCCAACAGACCTGCTACTAAAACTTCCTTTCCGTGGAAGCCTCAAATCTCACATAATCCTATGTACTAACTTCACACTTTCCTGTCAGTCAGTTTCAATGTCGAAGCCCTTTTCAGTTTCTGGCCATATATATATATATTCCTTTTTTTAATTCGGTTAGTGGGAGGTGGAGTCCAACTTGGTCCACTCGGCACGGCGGGCACTGATTGGTCTATTGTGGCCTGCTCCGGGTGATTATGATGATGGAGAATTTGGTGGAATGAAGATTGGAAGGGGAAACCGAAGTACTCGGAGAAAACTCGCCCCAGTGCCACTTTATTCACCACAAATCCCACCTGACCAGACCCGGGGCCGAACCCGGGCCGCCGCGGCGGGAAGCCAGCGACCAACCGCTTGAGCTATGGCTCGGCCTGGCCATATAACGAAATCTGAGCACACCGCTCACACTGTTCGCGCTGTCTGAGGTATAAATATCATTGGGATCGGGGGTTCGAATCCCACTCCAGGCATGGGTTTTGCCCCCTATAGGTAAAGGCTATCCTGTTTGTATGAATGACGGCTTCGAGTAGTTGGAACAGGTCACGCCGTTAGAGGAAGAAGAAATGTAATTAGCATTGTGTTACAATGTGGCCTTGACTCTGAGGGGAAGACAGGTCTGTCACTTGTATAGCTCAGTCGGTACAGCGACTGGCTACGGACTAGAACACGGAGGGGTCGGAGTTCGAGTCCCAGTAGGGTCAAGAATTTTCTCTTCTCCAAGTCGTCCAGACCGGCTCTGGGGTCCACTCAGCCTTCGATCCAATGCGTACCGAGGGCTCTGTCCCCGGGGCGTGAAACTGACCACGCACCTCCAACTAATGCTGAGGTCAAGAAAACGTGGATCTATACATACTCTCCCCCATACGCCTTCATGGCGTACTGCTTAATTAGTTAAGCAGAGGAACAACTTTACCCTTTTTACCGGAGTAATGGTCAAGTACCATAGTAATACACACGAATTACGTATATTCTCAGCTGTTTCTTATGTATGTTATTAAAATGGCCCCTATCAAACCAGTCTTCTTAAACATATCTTAGGTTACTCAGCTTTACTAGCTTTAGGGAGCCGGTATAGAGACGGGATACGGGGGTTTCACTGACGGCACAAGAAAGTCTTTTCTCCGCAGAGTCTACAACGGCTTCGGGGTCGACTCAGTCTAACAGAAATGAGTACCAGGAATATTCTTGGGGGGTAAAGGGCGGCCGGCGTGTAAGACTGACAACCTTACCACCACCTGTGAGCCGATTGTCTAGAAAATGTGGGAACCTCAACATCTCACAACCCTGTGGGTCTCCATGGCCTGTTACAGGGATAGTTTAACTTTTTTTTTTTTTCTATACAGGGATACATTTACCTTGTACCTTTACGGTATGTTTAGTCACTTGAACGGTGTTACATACGAAGCCGACAAATTTTATGTTATCAAGGCGCATGTCTGTTGATAAACTTTCAGTTGACCCCGGAGTGCGACATCTTGCGGGACTCACAAGAATAACAAGTCCTGCCCTGATATGTCGGAGAACCGTTTACTTAAAGAGAGCTGTTTCCGCACAGTCACGTGACTGATGAATGTCTTGCCAAGAAGCTAAACCACTGTCAGTGTAAAAGGGCCCTAAGTGTAGTCCAATGCTGTGTGTGGTAATGATGTAGGATCGGAAGTTGCTGGGGTTCTCCTCGCTGACCCTCCGTCAATTTCCCCTACTTCCCCCAATCTGTTAGTCATCTTTCCTTCCACAAGCGGGGGACGTTTCTTACCACAAGGGTATGAAAATGGGGATGTTGCACTCTGAACGTAAGAAAAACGTAAAGTTGTCCCTGTTAGAGGTTAGAGGTGAGTGGTCAGCTTCACGTCTCGGCCGCTTTACCCCCTGGAAACAGCCCCCAATACCCATTTGTTAGGAGGCTGGGTGAGCCCCAGAGCCAGTCTGGACGATGTGGATAAGAGAAAATTCTTGACCCTACCGGGACTCGAAATTCAACGCCTCGGCCGTCCAGCCCGTTGCCAGTCGCTATACCGACTGAGCTATCCCGGCTGCCTGGGGCTGTGCACTGTTCCCAGCGAAACCATTTGTTCTTTGTCCCTTGGCATAATTAATTAACTAATGCAATTAGTTCTATTCTTGTAAATTAGTTTTTTTTTTTTATTTATTTTTTTATCAAGGAGGCTAAGATGAGCAGGGCATGAAGAAGGCATTAGAGAGAGGTGCATGCGAATTTTTGGTTTGAGAACTTGGAAGAAGGCGTCCACCTGGAAGACTCAGGTGAAGATGGGATGATAATAAAACAAATAGTTCTGGGAAGAACGAATTGCCTATTTTCCTTACATACGTTTAGCATTTCACAAGACATGGACCACATATAAAACATCGCGTCCAACACTTTTCTATTGTTACTTGTGTATTTGTTACCGAGGGAAAAATTTTTACGTTGCCTAACAACGTTAAGAGGGGGGGGACAGAGACGGCAGGGTGCTTTCATAAATCTCCTTTTAATTTTCGGAAATAAGGACATTAAGCTAAAAATGGATGTTACAATAACAAAACGGGAGAGTGTGGGCACCATTCATCAGGGTCATGTTAGGAACAAGCTTTTGCGAGTACGATAATGAACCTTTGGATTCCATGAAATGTTGAGATTTTTTAGTGGCTGAGCAATTATTGGCTCCTCAAGAAGGGCTCAGCTTCATGGAGTTAGGTAGTTCATTAGTCAGAACAGGTAACTTGAACCATTAAGTCCTCGTTTATGCCCTGAGACATAAGACCACATTACGTAACCTGGACATTAATGACAACACGTATAACCTAATTCTGAAGCAGATCTAAGGTGCGGCTGGTCTTATATAAAATTCTCATAATTTTCTAATTAATGTTTTCTGAATCCTCTCTTTATCAATATCCCTGATATTGTACCTCCTTCCATTTCATAGTTTGTGTTACTTACGCGATATGAGTACTTGGTTTCAGCAACAAGTTGATCTGCAATCGCGCAGCAACATCAAGGGGAATCCCAGTATTCTGTAACATTAAAACAATCTCTCAGTTGCTGTCCTTCAACTTGGATACTAATGATATAACAAAGCAAAGCAAGTAAGAAGATGTAAANGCTTATATTTCGACCCTGAAGATGGAAATGATATGTTTCTCAGAAACGTCAGTTGAATTTCAACGGACTCTTCATAACTACCGCTATGAGAACCCCAAATTCTACAAAGCAAGTAATCTCAGTAAAAGAATAAATCCGTGGGGCACAGAAATTCTTCTTCTTCTTCTCCTCCTTCTTCTTCTTCTTCTCTGAATAAATGTAGGATGGCTTGAAATATGGGTTGAAGTATAGAAGAAATAAATCCCCACGGCCGTTAATTTCGGTTTTTTAGACCGGAGCCGCTCTTTCCTTGAAATATTGTAGCTCCTCAATTATCCTCACGAGGCTGAGTGGATCCCGTTCCAGACCCACTGTTTCTAAGAAAATCTGGTAGCGCCGGGAATCGAACCCGGGACCTCAGGATCTGTAGCCAGGAACTCTGACCACTAGACGACAGAGGCGGTCTACAGTAGTACAAGACGCGAAAATACTGCTATATATGAGGCGAGTTCTATCTTCTGGGATATAAAGCCGTCTAGTCTGCTGAAATTCAATGACTTTCAAGGAACTACACGGCATTGTATGCCATAAGACATAACTCCTGATAATCACCGCTGTGAGAACCTCAAATACTTTTTTTTATTTTGAAAAAGAAAATGCCCATCCAGCCCTCTGGAGCCTCAAATGCTACGACAGTTTACAGCACTTGGTGCCATCTACTGACAGAAATTTAGAACTAATTCTACAACACTGAGCCGGTCTGCTTGGCTCGGGCACAGTTTCATCACGAGAAAGCTGAAGCTGTTTTTCTCAGTAATTAATTGCGTGTAGTCCCGTGTTGTGTGTGTAAGGTGTCAATAAATCCAATCATTCAATCCAAACCCCCGTCTCATAAGTCACGTATAAATCCCCCATGACAATATTATTTAAATTATATTTCGAAAGATAAAGTTCGCCCAAAGGCCACTCACTGGCTCAAAAGTCATGTAAAACCGATGGCGAGCTGGATCTGGGCTCATCCCGCTGACGAGGTTTGCGTAGTAGGGGTCAGCATCCAGATAATGTGGGTATGACACAAATGCAGGAGCGCCGTAACGACATGCTGTCACGTTGAGGGTCCCTTGGGGAACACACTGGCCTCCGCAGTTGCACCAGTTGTCGTGGTCAATTGTGCCGTTGTCTAAGAGTCCTTTACCGAGTTCGAACCGGTACCCTGTCATACTATGCACCTCCACTTCTGCGGCATACTCGAAAGTGATCGACCTGAAAGAAGGAAGCACAGTCGAAACATCGCTTTACTAGATTGCGCCCTTCTGCACCTACTTATACTCATGGAGCTGAGCCCTTCTTAAGGAGAAGCCAAATCTGCAGCTACTCAAGAATTTCCCAGCATTTTATGGAACCCGAAGGTTCATTACCGTGTTCACAAGGGCCCTCCACTTGTCCCTATCCTGAGCCAGATCAATCCAATCCGTATCATCCCATCCTATCTCACTAAGATCCGCTTTAATAGTCAATGCACCTACACCTTGGTCTTCCCAGTGGTTCTTTTCTTCTGGCTTTCCCACCAATATCCTCTATGCATTCCTTCTGCGCCTCCAGTCAGTGAAATTTCTATTGTGAACAAGTGAATGGACCTTTGGGTTCCACGAGAGGCAATCCAATTTTGTAGTAGTCAAAGAGACTATAAATTTGCTCCATAGAATTGGTTCGGTTGGGATAGGTTCAGAATTTGTTCAGGACGTTTAGTCAGTCTGTCGGTTAATACTTCGGTCTGTAAGAGGGTCAGACAAAAATAAAATCAGCTAGCCAATTAGATAATTAGTTAATTACTTGGACAATTACTCGCATAATGGTTTGGTTAATTTGTTACTTAATTAAGAAATGTGCAGTCTTCTTGGTTGTAATTCTGTGTGGTTTGGAGATAGCAGGACTTGTCTCCATCTTAAGGGCCAAAGGGTAAGACAAACAGGAAATCAGCAGACATATGCAGTGTCTTCCGAAACGTCGAGCTGTCTCCGAATTACTCGACGTTATAATCCATAAGACCGTACTCTTCATAGTAACCGCTGTTGAGAACCTTAAATCATAAATCTGGAGTATCCTGTACTCACCTTCCTTATCCTGTAACCAGCCTAGCACCGAGACAAACACGAGACCCCACATTTGAAAACCGAGGACCTGGTACTTCGGTGCCTAGTCAGGGGCGATAACAGAGGGGCACAGACAAATTGTATAATGTTATTAACCAATAGTTTATATACATAATAAAGAAAAACGTTCCAAGGAATGAAACATTCTAAAGAGAAGTTATTTGATTCTTGCGAGTAGACTAGATAGACAGTGTCGCTGGAGTGGGTGGAGCAACTCGCAACTAACTGTAAGAAGATACTTGTTTCGATATATCTTATTGTGAGGTTGGAGACACCAACTCCTCTAGCGGTTGCACACGTCACTCCACTCAACGTGCTTCGCGGGTTTGGTTTTTCACTTGCCTGCCTTCCAGAGTTATCGGTTTTTTACGGGATATATTATTGCCACTGTAAGTTTTACTGCATTAGCGGTCATTTATAATATTATTTAGTTATATTTAACGATAGACGAGTAACTTTCGGCGTAGACGTTAAGGGAGATGTTGATTAAAATGGCCTAACCTGTACTGCCATCTTTACAATATAATAAGAAACATTTGCCGTATAGTTCAAAGCAGTTGTTTGCCTTATTTTATCAAGTGATAAACGTATTTTATGAAATATAAGTAATAGAATATCAATAGTCCTACAACACAATTTTTGCATTATTTGACACAAAAGTATGTGAGAAAACTACTACAGGGATAAAGAGGCGCGTAATGAATTGGTTGACATGCTAGCCGCGGAGTTGGTCTCACGGTTCGAGTAGCAGTCACCCGACACCTATCCCCAGCGCTTTCAGCTCACCTACATAAAACGTGTTTGAACAGTCGTGTCGACAACCACGTCTTATAAACTTACGCAGTTTAAGGAGTTTATTAGTTTGACTTTAAATTCTTAATTATTCAGGCCATTTAAACGATAATGAACCAGGTATGTTGGTCATAATATTGAAAAATATAGTAGGATTTTTCCTTGATTTTTGCATTTGTGGTTAAGCCTGGAAAAAAAAACATATGTGGAAGCTTCGCATTTTGCAGATTTTAACCCAACAGATCTATTGTACCTGAGCCTCTTAGCGCTGCAGTTATTTAAGAGTCCCTGAAAGCTACTCCGAAAATGAGTGGATTGTTATTAAATGTGTGTCCATGTGTCTAAGCGCCTACCCTGTACTACTATAGAAATTTTGGAGAAAACTGCTATGTACTCGTACAGGAAAAATACTATACGAGAGAATAAATGTACACTAAATTTCTGCCCGAAAGTCCAACGGGAAGAGACAGCTTGAAAGACCTAGTCATAGATGAGATCATTAAAATTTATCTTAAGGTAATGAAGCGTGATGTGGAGTGATTCACATGTCGGGATTCAATCGCTGGATCTTCTATAACGTACATGGTAAAGAATCTTCAGATTTTTCCGAGAAGATGTACAATTTCTTGTCAATATTAGAGATTATTTACATTTTCAAGAAGGGTTCTTCTCACTGCACTCCACTACCTGATTCTCTTCGACGTTTTGCTGATAAACTCCCGGGTTCCAAACATGCTGATAGCACCAATTCGAAATAAGATTACTGAATTTTAATATCCGTTTCTAACAACGTTCACAGAATGTACAGGATCTTACGTGCAGTGTGAAGCTTCTCAATATCACCTTCAAACTCGCGCTGTGTTCACTGTTCTCACAAACGAGATCCTGGAGACCGAATCATGACGGTAATCACTAAATGTCCGTGGAAGAAACTGCTCTATGGTCAGTCTGTAAGGGTGACAGGAATCTTCCTGCGGGGTATAAGGCGGCCGGCGCGTAAGACTGACAACCTCACTGCTATCTGTGAGCCGACTGTCTAGAAAATGTGGGAGCCTCGACGTCTCACAACCCTGTGGGTCTCCACGGTCTGTTCCAGGGATAGCTTTAGCAAGTTGCTTCAGGCACTTGTGTCTCTCGCATTCATATCGGAAGTGGAACAGACTATCCTAACTACGTGATTCTTCTCAGTCCGTCCAAGCGAATGCCGGAAAAATACTTGTAATAGGCCACGACCGCTTCCTTCCACATCATTTCCAATACATTATCGATTATCATCGAATCATTCGACGTATGATATTTCTGACAGAATCTATGAATGGGCTGCAACTGGTGATGATTCGTGATTTCATTTAGGTAGGAAATTTGACCCTAATTCTAACTGCAGAAGGCAGGCAGGCAGGCAGTCGAAGTTCCGTTTCTTGTTTAGAGGCTTAAACTCATGTAAATCTTAAACATTTTGTATTCGTGTGCTTTTATATTTAAAAGAAGAGTTCAGTAATTTCATGACGGGCTTTGTTTGTCAGTGTGAGTGACAGAAATATGAAAATCTGACAACTATTTTAGGATTTACAACGAATAGTTCAGTGCTTTCAAGAAAAGTTGCTTGATGCTATAGTGCTATGCGACTGATGTTGTGAATGTGAACTTAAGCTACGTTTTCTGGCCCTGCGTTCCGAACTGGACGTCCTCAACTTCTCAACCAAGTCAGCAGTACTACACACCATGGACCGTGGCACCAGGAGTGTCCAGCAAACCGTAAGTAGAACTGTGTGGTCAAACTTACTGAACCTTGGAACATCAAATGATCATTTTCAGAAATTTGGAGGTAGCAAACAGGTGTTGATAGGAGGGTGAAAGTGATTTCTAAAATGCAGAATTTGTTTTACATTTAATCACATAGTTTGAAAGTGAGCCCATATAGCGCAGTCGGTACAGCGACTGCTTACGGGCTGGACGATCGAAGGGGTCGGAGTTCGCGTCCCGGTAGGGTCAAGGATTATTTTCTTCTCTATATCGTCCAGACCGGCTGTAGGGCCCACCCAGCTCCTACCAAATTGGTACCGGGGGCTGTTTCCCCGGGGGTAAAGCGGCCGGGACGTGAATCTGACCACTCATCTCCACCTAGTGTCGAGGTCAAGAAAATGTGGATCTATACATCCACTCCCCCATACACGTTCTTAGCGTAGTTAAGTACAGGGACAGCTTTACATTCACCTTATCATATTGTTTGAAATAGAAGACTGATTAATGCTTTCGTCCTCCAGCCGTACTAACGGCTCAAAAGGCCACATGTAGCAAGGGAGTCACACTTTGGCGCGCATGGCCTTTACTAGCGATAATCGGGTAATAGCTTGTCCTTAGAAAGATGGTTTGGATACTTGCAACAAGTTGTCACTTCCTGTTTAATATGAGGACAAAATGGTACAGAGCCTAGCAACAGATTCCTATACATTCACTGATAAGATACAGAACTAGTGCTTATCGACAAGTTTGTCTACACTGCGAATGTGACTATTTTTTATTTGTTTCTGAATTGAAGTTGTAATTAATTTTTTCAGGACTGCCAAATGCCGATCACAGTGGCCGGCCGCGTGGTCTAAGGCATGAAACGCCTTCACTCGCTCTAACACTGAGATCGTGGGTTCGAATCCTACTCGTGGCATGGATGTCTGTCTGCGTTTATTCTGTGTTGTTCTGCGTCTAGGTATCGGCCTCGAGAAAGGCTGATCCCCCGTCCAAGGAATCTTACAGACTGTGTATCACTCACTCACTCACTCACTCACTCACTCATTCACTCATGGAGTTGAGCTGTTCCTGAGAAGCAGCCAATTGTGCAGCTACTCAAGAACATCCCAGCATTTTATGGAACCCGAAGGTTCATTACCGTGTTCACAAGCGCCCTCCACTGGTCACTGTCCTGAGCCAGATCAATCCAATTCATACCACCCCATCCTATATCTCTAAGATCCATTTTAATATTGTCCACCCACATACGTTTTGGTCTTCCTAGTGACCTCTTTCCTTCAGGCTTTCCCACCAATATTCTATTTGCATTCCTCTTCTCCCCATTCGTGCTACATGCCCTGCCCATCACATCCTCCTTGACTTGATTATTCTAATTATACTTGGAGAAGAGTACAAATTATGAAGCTCCTCATTATACAGTTTTCTCCAACCTCCTGTCGCTTTATCTCTAGACTGAGGGATCGCCGCTTGTCGGCGAAGTTAGTGCCAACTTTAGCGGATAGAGGGTGTCGCATGGTCAACGCAACGAATCCCCACGGCCGTTAATTTCGGTTTTATAGACCGGAGCCGCTTATCCTCACGATGCAGAGTGGACCCCGTTCCAGACCCACTACTCCTCATAAAATTTCTCACAACACATTAAGGATTAAGAAAGTATGTAATGACAGAAAGTGTCACTTACCTGCAGAGGTCAGGCGAAAACATTACCACTGGCTTGTCCTTTTTCCGTCCAGGAGGAAATAGCTCTCCAGACGAGCCAATCACGTGACCACATTCAGCCTCAAAGAAGTCCGTGCGATTGTTGTAGTTCCAGTTACGTAACTTTCCAACCTGCATGACGTCATCTTCCCCAGTTTCCATGTTGAACACCCCGTCAAATTCTGCAGAACCATTCCTCGTGTAGAACCAACCAAACTTATCTACAGGTATCCTCGTCTGTGCTAGATGCGGCATCTTCATAGCCATCGTGAGAAGAGGGTCGCTGTACCCGTCGAACAGAAACTCCCCTACTGTCTTGGTTATCCAGACGTTCTGCCCTGTCACTCGGATAGCTCCGGATAACGGAAGTTGTAGGAAAGCGCTCCGAAACCGCGACACAGAAGTTGCAGACTGCAACAACAACAACTCTGTGGCTTTATTACCGACCGAGCGACAGCCGCTTGTCGGCGAAGTTAGTGCTAACTTTAGTGGATAGAGGGTATCGCATGGATCCCCACGGTTTTCTAGACCCGAGACTGCAACAAGTAGTTTAAAGTGTCTTGAAGAACGCCTTGTCACTGAGAGCGGTAAAAACATGGTACACTTCTCCCTGTGCTTAATTAATTAAGCACTATGTCATGAAGATNGGACCTGTCGTCTTGACAGATTACTGATGATGATGATGATGTCATGAAGACATATTGGGGAATGGAGGTATAGCTCCACCATTCTTGATCTACGTAGTAGATGTAGGTGAGTGGTCAGTTGCACGAACCGGCTGCTTTCCCCTGGAGGGAAAATCCACTGATACCCATTTGATAGGAGGCTGAGTGGGCTCCAGCGCCGGTCTGGGCGTTGTGGAATATAGAAAAACCTCTTGCCTCTATCAGGAACCGAACCCTGGCAGTACAGCATGTAGCCCGTTGTTGTACCGATTGAGCTATCATGACTCTCCCATCACTGAGAGGTTCATAAATAAACTGGCAAAGCTTATTGCCAAATAATTCTTCTTCTAAAGTTCGTATTCATTGTTATGTCCTTGGGACAGCTCAGTCAGTACAGGGGTTAGGCTGGTCTAACTGACCTGTCACAGCTTGCGCATAGGAACAGCTGTGTATTAAGTAATTCTTGAGAACTGTGACATTTCCCAATGCTTACAGTAAGTTGTGTCCTATAGTTTGTGAAACCATGATATAACCATTTAAAGCACAGAAGTTACTGTACTTACTTCTTCTAACATTAAGAAACAATATTTTTCCCTTTCATGGCGGAAATTTGTGCAGAGACATGAGGTAGCGTAGTCGGTTGAGGCACTATGCTACAAGCCGGGAGGTCGCGGGCTCGATTCACGATGAGGTCATTGGATTTTTCCAAGTGACCTAATCCTTCCAACCGCACGATGGCCCTGGGATCGACTCAGCCTCTAACAGAAATGAATACCAGAAATCTTCCTGCGGGTAAACGGCGGCCAGCGAGCAAGGCTGACAACCTTACCGCCATCTGTGAGCCGATTGTCTAGATAATGTGGGAGCTTCGACGTCTCACAACCCTATGGTCCTCCACGGTCTGTTACAGGGATAGCTTTACTTTCTTTACCATAGTGGAAATTTGTGGATTTCTTATTAGCATTTACCTATTTGCCTTAGTAACTGAGACACGGTGTGTCTTCTGTGAGGCAGGAATTAAATAGCTTTCTATTTAGATGAAGCTAACGTCTGAGATAGTTAAGGACGTCCTGAGCGTTCTGTGTACATTCGACTGGCTGATCACTGAAAAGCAGCAACATTTTCCGTTAAGTAAGTCTAATTTAAGGGTTTAAATCCGGGTGGGATTTTTGAAGGGAAACGCATCATCAGACTGAATGTTTGCAGCTTCCACCCACCACAGAACTCTGCACTTTCAGCTCGTTATAATGGGCGCTATCTTTGAACCGACATACAACTACTAACTAAAATACTGTATCTCTCGTTAGATGTATATTACTGGGCAAATTCAGGTTATGTAATCATGAAAATCGGAACTGTTGTTTCATCTCCAGTACTTAATGTTTAGTTATGCTTTTGCTTTTTAAAAATAACGACTATTAATTAATAACACTTTAATGAACAAAGATCCTCTATAGCGTTTGTTGTTATTTAAATACTAACGAATTAAATCTTCTCGGGCGATCGGCCATGTTAATATATAACTGGGACCCAACGTTTCGCAGACTGTTTCCGTCTCCTTCATCATGGGTTAAGACGATAAGTGTCGCGGCCGCATTTTGTATTTATACCATGCTCATCATACGTGCCCTGATGATGTAGGTAGAGACTTACTTACTTACTTATTACTTACTTACTTACTTACTTACTTATGGAGCTGAGCCCTTCTTGAAGATCCACTAATTGTGCAGCTACTCAAGAATTTCCAAACATTTTATGTAACCCGAAGGTTTATTACCGTGTTCACAAGAGCCCTCCACTGTTCCCTATCCAGAGCCACATCAGTCCAATCCATATCATCTCATTCTATCTCTCTAAGATCCATTTTATTATTGTCTACCCGTCGAAGCATTTTTCTTCCCAGTGGTCTCCTTCCTTCTGTCTTTCCCATCAATCTCCTATATGCATTCCTCCTCTCCCCCATTCGTGCTACATGCCCTGCCCACCTCATCTTCCTTGACTTGATTATTCTAATTATACTTGGAGAAGAGTACAAGTTATAAAGTTCCTCATTATGAAGTTTACTCCAATCTCCTGTCACTTCATCTGGAGGTAGAAACAGGATCCGAAATATTGATTATTGACCCTATATCGACACAGCTGATCGCCAGACAAGACTTTACTACATACAAACACCACAAAATCAAACAATACATTACATGCTAACCAGTGTAACACTCGTGAATTTAACGGAAAACATCATTTATTGTAAATAAACTCTATACTCATCTCCATCTATCGCCGAGGTTAAGATCGCGTGGATCTATACCTCCACTCCCCTATACGCCCAGATGGCGTGACATTTAATGAAGAACAGGGACAAGTTTATCTTCTTAACCTTACCTGTTACTTACTTCCTTCCAAGTAATTTGCCTAAATCTTATGTCTTATAAGACCGCTTCAGTGGTCTAGTGGTCAGAGATCCTGGCTACAGATCCAGAGGTCCGGGTTCGATTCCCGGCCCTACCAGATTTTCTGAGAATTAGTGGGTCTGGGACGGGGTCCACTCAGCCTCGTGAGGATAATTGAGGGGTTACTTCAAGAAACTAGCGGCTCCGGTCTAGAAAACCGAGCTTAACAGCCGTGGGGATCCGTTACACTGACCACGCGACACCATCTATCCGCTGAAGTTGGCACTAACTTTGTCGACAAGCGGCGTTCGCTCGGTCGGTTTAGTCACTTGCGGACTATGGGCTACGGCGTTCTTATGTCTTGTAAAACATTCAGTAACTTATCCCTTTTACATGTGTAAATTTGTAAGTAGAAGACTGAGACAAACCAGAGCAACCGCGTTGAGTGTAGTGACGTTGTCCTTCAGAGTACCGTTGGAGTTACTGGGGTCGAAGTACCACCATTTCTTCTGCTTGTATGACACCGTGCGGTTTGCGTTCCAGGTGACGTTCACTTTCTCGCGAGTTTCTCTGTAAAGAAATGAAGGAAAGCAGCAGACACTTTACACGCAACTTTCAAGATCATAATGACTATCAAGCACACGCCAGGATGTCTTCACGGGGAGGGGGTGCAACCAGTTTTTCCCAAAAGTGAACAGCCACGAAATTTCATTACAAACTTGTACGTTTGCGAAGCTAAAGACTATTTTTGCTGACAATTCTAAGGTATACAATATAATTATGTTTTTAGTGCTTTTAAGATTTTGGTGACCGCCTCTGTGGTCTAGTGGCCAGAGTTCATGGCTAAAGATTCAGAAGTCCCGGGTTCGATTCCAGATGCTACCAGATTTTTTTAGAAGTAGTGGGTCTGGAACGGGGTTCACGCAGCCTCATGAGGGTAACTGAGGAGCTATTTCAAGAAACTAGCAGCTCCGGTTTAGAAAACCGAGCTCAACAGCCGTGGGGATCCGATGCGCTGACCACGGCACACCCTATATCCGCTAAAGTTGGCACTAACTTCGCCGGCAAGCGGCGGTCGCTCGGTCGGTATAGTTCGCTTGCGAACTACAGGCCACAAAGTTTGTTATATTTGTTCGTTTTTTGTTAAGATTTGTTATTCATTGTTGGCATATTTCCTTTTTAGCCTATTTTGGTTCCTACTTTAACTATTTTGAGAAAATGAATGTAAGCTTGTATCATATCCTTCCTACATATCCCCACTCCCTATTAACTTTTGAACGCCTGAACCAATCTTTATGAATCTTTGTATGTATACCATGGCACTTGAGCCCATCCTAACGACGTACTTCATACATTTCTTCCATTAGTCTGTGTGTCTGTATGTGCATCTACCTGTCGTTGCTAGGCAACGGCTAGATAAAAGCTTTACTGCGGCAATGAATTCACACGCAACAATGGCTGAATTATTGGACGAGTCGTTTTTGTATTTTCTGTGTCATATCAAGGAAAAGTAGGCGATTATTTCTTCCCAGAACTTCTTGTTTTGAATTCTGAACCCCCGCCAGCGCTCAAGGTATCGAAAATATGTATGTAATACCAGATTTATAGGACAAAAGGATACATAACCAAAATGGTATGCTCATATGCAACTGTGGACATATAGGTACATCCCTGGTAATCCTTAGTGTCTGGAACTCTTCTCTCCACATCCTTAGAAACCAGCTCCATGGAAGAGAGTCCTTCTTGAGAAGCTAACAGTCGCTCATCTACCAAGTCATTTCCTGCCTGGTTATGAAACCGTAAGATTCAGTACCGTATTCACAACACACTCCATTGGATTCTGTGCTAAGACAATTGAATTCAAATCCATACCCTCACACATTAGCCCTGTAAGATCCATTTTTAATATTATACACACTTCTGTGCCTCTGTTTCCTAGATATTCCTCATCCTTCAGGTATACTTACTTACTCATGGAGCTCAGCCCTTCTTGAGGAGCCGCCAATTCTGCAGCTACTCAAGAATTTCCCAGCATTTTATGGAACCCGAAGGTTCAATACCGTGTTCACAAGAGCCATCCACTGGTCCCTATCCTCAGCCAGATCGATCCAATCCATACCATCCCATCCTATCTCTCCAAGATTCATTTTTAATATTATACACACTTCTGTGCCTCTATTTCCTAGATATTCTCCATCCTTCAGGTATACTTACTTACTCATGGAGCTCAGCCCTTCTTGAGGAGCCGCCAATTCTGCAGGTACTCAAGAATTTCCCAGCATTTTATGGAATCCGAAGGTTCATTACCGTGTTCACAAGAGTCCTCCACTGGTCCCTGTCCTCAGCCAGATCAATCCAATCCATACCATCCCATCCTATCTCTCTAAGATCCATTCAATCCTTCAAGTACACCGATTAAAATTTCCGTATGCACTTCTCATTTCTTCCAAATTCTTTACAATTCAGTATTATCTAGACGTAGAGTTGAACGCTACATTAAGTGAGGTACTGAACCCATCTCTAAATACATAAAATCGTATAGCCTGTGTACGGGCGAAAAATAGATTTGTCTACACAGCATTCTAAAACTGATGGCGAATTACTGACCCTAAGACGTAACTGTCGGCCGTAATCAAAATTAGTTGCTGTTTTCTCCTCCGGTTGTCACTGCACGGTGTATCAGGTCGAACACGTTAAGAGGCGCTCTGGGGTCACAAAGATCAACAGCAGGTTCCTGTTTTATCGATAATCCCTTTAATAGACTGCACGAAGACTTGATGCAATAATTTCATCAAAGCTAATTATCGTTTAACAAGACTCAACTGCTGAACAGTTATGCCACTTAGAGAAAAACTAAGAAATGTATGGTTTATTACTTAATAGGGAGCAATTTTGTAGTTCCCGTCCACTGAATATTACTTACGTTATGACAGGCATGCATGCTGAGTGGGTTACGGACTGTAAAGGAGGTAAACTACAAACTTAAAGTCTTCGAACCATCGTCTTAAAGTTGCAGATATTCAAAGTGCTTCACATTTCTTTCAAGTTGGAACTAGTATTCACTATTGGGATGTCTGCATCGATTTTTTTTATAATTCCCTTAATAAAGTTGCATATTTTGAGATATGTTCTATAATTCGAAATTCTAAGGTCTCGGGAATAGTTCAGTCAATACAACGAATAGGCTAGGGGATTCACGCCCGGGGTTCGCTTCCCAGTAGGCTGATTTTTCTCTTATCCATAGCGTCCAGACCAACTCTAGGGCCCATTGAGCCTCCTATCCAATGTGTACGGGGCCAAGAAACTGATCACTCATTTCCAGCTAGTGCCGATGTCAAGAAAAAGTGGATCTATACCTCCACTACACCACATGCCTTCGTGACTGTGTTGAAGTATGGAATAAGTTTATTTTTGGCGTAAAGTAAGGTAAAGGTATTCCTGTGCTTAACTAATTAAGCACTACGTCAAGAAGGCGTGTGGGGGAGTGGATTATAGATCCACGTTTACTTGATCCCGGCACTGGTTCGAGGTCAGTGTAAGCTTCATGCCCCTTCCGCTTTACCCCCGGGGAAACAGCCCAAGGTACCCATTGGAGAGGGGGTTGAGTGGACCCCAGAGCCGGTCTGGACAACGAGGAGAAGAGAATATTCTTGGACATACCGGGACTCGAACTACGACCCCTCGGTCGTCCAACTCGTAGCTAATCGCTATCCTGGCTCATTACCTTTAGAATATTGAATAAAATTTATTCCCACATCTAGACTGTATGGTTTTTGTGTGGGTATTGAAGAAATGTATTTATGATACACCCAGTGGAGGTTGTGTCCACTGTGTTAATGTTCATACAAGGTTTATTCTTGTCTGCTACGGAAACTTATCTGCAAAATATCTGGGTACAGAAACTTCCCGACTTATGCAATCGTGCCGTTAAGGAACGTCAAGAGTGAACCCAATTTTCCTAAGTCGAAATCCTGTTTTTTTTTATTACACGTACGTATGTAAGTATGCAAGAGTGTTTGCGCTTTCTAAGGGAAAATGAGACCTTCGAAAAAAAAAATAAAGCATTGTGGAGAACACATACTGAATGACCACCTCAGGTCGGAACAGGCTTTAAGGGGCCCATACACGTACGAGTCCGGCTCGGCGAGCTTGACTCGGGAGCCGGGCTCGGATTAATTTCACCACAAATGCATGAGCTGACTCCCAACTTTGCGACCAACACACGGACGAGTTTGGCTCATTGGAACCCGAGCCGAGTCGGTCTCGCGAGCCAGACTCGTACGTGTATGGTCCCCTTTATTGCGTGTATCATGAAGTGAAGAATAAGAATAATGATATCCGGACGTTTCAGCGTAAGATTTGAAGGGTGGACGTAGGTAAGACGTCCGTAAGACGGGGTGTACTGCATATAATATGCTTGTTTACAGCCGGGGGGAGGTGCATGAGGTAGCTTAGTTTGTTAAGGCACTATACTACAGGCTGGAAGGTCGCGGGTCCGATTCCCGCTGAGGTCATTGGATTTTTCAATTGACTTACTCTTCCCAGCCGCATTATGGCCCTGGGGTCGACTGATCCTCTAATAGAAATGAGTACCAGGAATTTTCCTGGGGTCAAAGGGCGGCCGGTGAATAAGGCTGACAACCTCACCGCCTTCTGTGAGTCGATTGTCTATAAAATGCGGGAGCCTCAACGTCTCACAACACTATGAACCCCACGGCCTCTTACAGGGGTAGCTTTATCTTCTACAATCAGGGGGGTTATTTCAGGAAAAATATGTGAGGGAGAGCCAGTAAATAGGTCACAAATGGAAGTGGAACAGCTGTAATGGATGTAATAGGTTTTCTATGTTTATCACTAGTAGCAGCACAGTCTAGCTTCATAAATGTCTACGTGTAGGTAGGAGACGCGCATGCGTCGTGTTTATTTCATTAGACATAGGAATAAATTCACATGTTTACTTTATCCACATAGTATAGGGACAAGTGTGAGGTCCGTTACTTCATTCAAACTGCTTCGGAAAAAGCTAGTTGCTCTCTGTTACTTACTTGAACCTATATGGGCCCAGTTCAACCAGCGTAGGCTTGAAGTTTTCTTGCAATAGTTCCTCCGGGTTAGTCCAGTTGAAGAAGTAGAAATCCATAGTTATTGGTACAGGCGTGACCTTCCACAGCGCATAGCTCTGGGATGTGGGTGACAAACGAAGTTCCTGAAAGGACAGATCATTCTCAATCTAACATTTATTTATCTATTTTATTATTTATTTATCGTGGCACGTGGTAGCGTAATTGGTTGAGGCACTATGTTACAAGCCGGAGGGTCGCGGGTTTGTTTCCCGAAGAGATCTTTGGATTTCTCTATTGACCTAATCCTTCCAACCGCACTATGGCCCTGGAGTAGGCTCAGCCTGTAACAGAAATGGATACCAGGAATCTTCTTGGGGGTAAAGGTCGGCCGGCGCATAAGGCTGACAACCTCACCACCAACTGTGAGCCAGTTATTTAGAAAATGTGGGAGCCTTGATGTCTCACAACCCTATGGGCCTGCATGGCTTGTTACAGAGATAGCTTTTTCCTCTTTTATATGGCTTTATTGATTTGTATGAATGAGAAACTTGGTAGAATATGCGTTGACTGTTTGAGGACAAGACGCTGGGGAGAATACATGGACCTAAGTGGACGGAAGTGGAAATTTTTTATAATATGGGCATGGTCTAAACAAGGAGGATGAGATGTGTGTGCATATAGCATGCATGGGAAGGATTAGAAATGTAGGTAAAATTTGTTTCGTTGCAAAACCTGTAATATTTAGACTGTTGTTGGAGGATAATATCTTAAAGAAACAGGATGTGAAGACGGTGTTTGGAATAATCTAGCTGAGGATAGCGACTACTGATGGGCTCTTGTGAACATGACAATGGATCTACGGGTTTGATAACCATCGGCGAATTTCTCGACTAGTTTTCCAAGGACTTTGCTCCATAGAGTCGAGATGCATGTATGTTTGTCCAGGAAGCTCAAGTGGACAAGTGACCATGATCACAGCCGTTTCGCAGAGCTGGAGGCGCTCATTCCATCAAGTGCTTGAGCCTCGGGGACCAGTACGATAAATAACATAAGAGCTGTGTGATGTCATACATTTTTCTTTATAGAACCTGAGCTGAATGGTCATAATAATTCAATGCCAGTTTGTAACAGTACACTAACTTCCACTTGTCAGTTAAGAGATTAAAACGCAACTTACTTACTCATGGAATTGAGCCCTTCTTGAGGAGCTGCCAATTCTGCAGCTACTCAAGAATTTCCCACAATTTCATGGAAGCAGAAGGTTTATTACCGTGTTCACAAGAGTTCTCCACTGGTCCCTATCCTGAGCCAGATCACTCCAATCCATACCATCCCAGCCTACCTCTCTTAAGATCAATTTTAACATTGTCCACCCACCCAAGCCTTGGTCTCCTCAGTGGTCTCTTTCCTTCTGGCTTCCCCATCAATATTCTATATGCATTCCTCGTCTCCTCCATTCGTGCTACATGGCCTGCCAACCTCATAGTCCTTGACTTGATCATTCTAATTATATTTGGAGAAGAGTACAAGTTATGAAGCTTCTCATTATGCAATTTGCTGATTAAAACGTAAAGAATTATTAAAGAACATTTACTGCAGATCTACGAACAATCATGTTAGGATGCATTGTTGTAGTCTCACGTCTGTGTTTCTCTGTACATGTATTTAAAACTTATTGTTATTACATATAGGGTTAGGTTAGCCGTCGCCACAACAGAGTGATTTATAATCAATCAATATTTTATAATCGAATATTTATTTCGTGTTTCATATTTCGATCTCATAGGACCATCATCAGGCAGTGATAAAAGAATACGTCTGGGGTCACTGAACTCCTAATATGGATCCATACTGGTGCAACGTGTCATATCCTATGATACAGAATTTGTGTCTAGAATTAAATATGGGTACTGAAATTAAATATATAAAATATAAAGGATATATTAGATAACATATTACATGTGTATCTTGACTTTTTATTATAGGTATTAAAGGCATTGAAAGGTGTATTAAAATTATTAAATTTATTAAAATTATGTTTATTCAGAGAATCCGTCCAGTTCCGAGGCTTTTTGAACATTTTCGATACAAACTTATTTTTTACGGCGAGGAGCTGTTAGCCTCACGCCCAACCCCCAAGCTTGAGGACCACCCCTTGTCGGCTGTCTGCCACTGCTTATTCAATATATTAGCAGCTTCCCTCCATACCTGGTGGGCCTCTTCTCCAAGTATAATTAGAATGATCAAGTCCAGGATGATGAGGTGGGCATGGCATGTAGCACGAACGTGGGAGAAAAGTAATGCATATAGAATATTGGTGGGAGAGCCAGAAGGAAAGAGACCACTGAGAAGCATAAGACGTAGGTGGGTAGACAACATTAAAATGGATCTTAAAGAGAAAGGATAAGACGGCATAGATTGGCTTAATCTGGCTCGGGATAGGGACCAGTGGAGGGCTCTTGTGAACACGGTAATGAACCTTCCGGTTCCACAAAATGCTGGGGAATTCTTGAGTAGCTGCAGAATTGACGGCTCTTCTAGAAGGACTCAGTTCCATGAGTAATTATTAAAAATTATGTATGCAAACTTTCAAGTTATAGTGCCCAGTATAGTGTTAAGTTACATCACTATACATTTCGTGGATCAATGTTGTTACGCGTCCACATGTGAACGGTCATGCAGGGTTATATTGTATAATTATATGTTGTAGGGAGTTGTTCATTATTTACGAAAAGTTATAAGGTTGTCTAACGGTAAATTCGTTCCGAAATCCAGCCTTTGGAATTTGATTTGGATCTGCGGATGAGGGATCTTATGTCCACTAAGGCACGCCGTTTCATGGCCTGTGTTAACGTCATTATGTAAATATATCCGATAAGCAGCTACTGTCTCCTTTACCATGTTACTCTCTTGCACTAATAAGCCAAGCATAGTTGGTTTGTAGCGTCAGGACTTATTTGTCAGAGGACAAGGTTCATATGGGCATTCAATACAGAAGACTTCACAAGATTGTAGAGGGAATCTTAAAGCGAGACACCAGTACACTTTATTATAATAAAGCCTTGTGGGATATGCATTATTTTGTTAATTTTGCGACTAATTTACTGATAAATAGAAAATATATTATTTTAGTCTTTGATTTGGTTCATCATCGTCCATCACACTAGCAGTATTACAAAAGGTTAAGGCTGCGCCATAGCTCAAGTGGTTAGTCGCTAGCTTCCCACCCCGGCGCCCCGGGTTCCATTCCGGGTCTGGTCAAGTGGGATTTGTGGTGGATAAAGTGGCTCTGGGGCGGGTTTTCTCCGAGTACTTCGGTTTCCTCTGCCAATCTTCATTCCTCCAATTGCTCCACAATCACCCTCACCTATCATCTGGGGCTAGTACAATAGGCCAGAAGTGGCCGCAGTACAAGGGACTTAGTCCCACCCCACTAGCAATACAAAATATACAAAACGTTATCAACTCCGTCTAATGTGACTGATAAACACTAAAGAGTCCTGTTCTTCAAACAACTGAACCACGACGTGGTAGACACTCAACTTCCTTTAAAGAGATGCAGTATAAGGGACACGAACCAAATTGGTTCTAAATTTTATCAAAATCGTTTTTAAACCACACTTGTAAACAGACTTATTATAATAATTTATAAATATTTTAATGTATTCATGCAAGCCGCTGTGGTTGTTACAGGCTCAGGTTTTATACACGTATTCATGACATTGTATTGATATTGTATGTATGTTTCCATATTGACCAATCGCACTGTAGTAGCAGTTCCTGCCTGTATTGATATGTCCTTCCGAAAATGGTCTCTAAGACCAAACATGTCAAGGATGAAAGATTAAAAAGGAAAGAAAGGAAAAACATTTTATCAGTCACACTGCACGAAGTTGATTAAACTTTTGTAATATTTTAACCTACTTTCCCGAAAGTAAGCTTATGCGATCTCCTTCCTGTCTGTGTCTGTATATCCACCCTAATAAATTCGGAATGCCGAATGCTGTTAACCCTTTCTAAGAGACCCAACGGTGTTTCTCCCTCCCAACTGAGGACGGAAAACAGATCCAATTTCCGAAAAGTCATGTTCTCTAGTATTTAGAATACAGGCCGATGGACAAAAGACCAACAAGTCAGTAATTCTGAAATTCTATGGAGGTTTGTTAAGTCAGATTTTTTATTATTTTTGGAAACTGTGCACTGGGTTGAAGTTTTTTTTTAATAAAACATTGCGGATATCGGATCTGTTTCCGAAATGTTACCTGGTAACGTGAAAATAATAGCCATGTGCACTGTAGTACTGGGGAATTGATGTCCCATTTTAATTAACACATACCTTTCGCAAAATGTAGTCGAAAATGCTGCTCCAGCTGAAGGTAAGTATTATTCCTATACTTGCGAATAGCACACCTATCCAGATAAGGATCGAACTTCTGTCCATCATGAGGCCGGTGGCACTGAACGGTTCAAAAGAAGCCCTACAGTCCGCTGAGCGTACATGCGCTGCCTGCGACGACAGATAATGTTCTGAGCCGGGGAAGCAAGGACACGTGGGGAAGCCATGGTATCTGTGTGTTTGAACACGCAATGAAGAGTCGTTGTGACCGTTGTGACTCAGACCCCTACGCCTGGCGTCCCCTGCTTCAAGAGCATGGGTACGGGAAGGGGGAGGCAAGCCAGAAGCGTGCCCCCTTCCGGATTCAAAAACAGAGAGATTTAAAAGGAGATATACACAAAATATTAATAACGAAAGTTAAAAATATTTTTATACCAATACATTAGTTTATCCTGAATAATCTAGGCCGATTAGGGGGCAGGCGGTAGCGTAGGTGGTTGAGGCACTATGTTACAAGCCAGAACATCGAAGGTTCGATTCCCGATGAGGTCAATGGATTTTTCAAATTACCTAATGCTTGCAGCCGCACTAGGGTCCTGGTGTCGAATCAGCCTCTAGCAGAAAACAGTACAAGGTATTTTCTTGGGGGTAAATTGGGCCGGCTCGTAAGGCTGACATCATCACCGCCATCTATGAACCGATTGTCTAGAAAATATGGGAGCCTCGGTGTCTCACAACCCTATGGGCCTCGACAGCCTGTTACAGGGATAGCTTTACCTGTACTCTAGGGCGACCAATAAAAACAGTCCCAAGCCGCATAAAGGTAAAATTTAAGTATGTTTTCTTATTCCCTAGACCTAAGGACCTTTCGAGGAGCTGGGATAGCTCAGTCGGTATAGCGACTGGCCACGAGCTGGACGACTGAAGGGTCAGAGTTCGAGTCCCGGTGGGGGCAAGAATTTTCTCTTCTCCAAGTCGTCCAGACCGGCTCTGGGGTTCACCCAGCCTCCGATCCAATGGGTACCGGAGGCTCTTTCCCCGGAGGTTAAGCGGCCGGGGCGTGAAACTGAACACTCACCTCAAACTAGTGCCGGGGTCAAGAAAATGTGGATCTGTACATCCACTCCCCCATACGCCTTCATGGCGTAGTGCTTAATTAGTTAAGCACGGGGACAACTTTCCCGTTTTAAAGGACCTTTCGTGCTATCTGCTGTCGAGCCGTAGTAATGTTGCCTATCAGTATGAAGCTACTAGAACTATGAACTTGTCCCTAATGCAGAGGGTGAGACTGTGTAGTGAACTAGTGAGACGAACTAGTAGTTTATGCAATCAAATATGATAAGGTGTTAAGGATAATGGGTCTTCACGGGCATGCATCCACTTAATCGACTAGAGAAAACGTTGAAACAGGAACCAGTCTGGAATTCCTTGGCACATGTTACACTCCTATTTATGGAAACTTATGTGGTGACACTGTAACAGAAAGATTCTCTCGAGCCTTTTTTTTTATTATTTTTAGTGGGATGGAACTAAGTCCCTTGTACTGCAGCAACTAGTAGCCTATTCTATCAGCCCCAGATGATAGGTGAGGGTGATTGTGGAGCAATTGGTGGAATGAATATTTGCAGGGAAAACCGAATTACTCGGAGATAATCTGACCCAGTGCTACTTTGTCTACCACAAATCCCACATGACTTGACCCGGGCTCGAACCCGGGTAGCCATGGTGGGAAAGAAGCGACTAGCTGCCTGAACTAGAATCAGCAGCACACATCCTGTGTGATTGTGGGGCTATAGCTTATTTAGAATTCCGTCACTTGGGTCAGTTCTTCAAGGAACCAAGTGACTTTCATGACTCCCCCATAAGCAGGGTCCTACAGTGTAGGATTAATAAAGGGGTAATCCAAGGGGAAGCACAATAGGTCATTGAAGGTGGCAGTGCACGGGCCGAATTTTATGGTCCACCCCTTACTTACATACATACATACAACTGCCTGAACTATGGAGCGGCCCTTCTCTAACCGTTACTGCAACATATTGTGGAATTTTGTTTGCCACGCTAAAAAAGACACAGTTGTAACATATCGTGTTTCTCATCTTTGTACGTACATCATGTGTTCCTCATTCCTAATCACGGAATTCTGAGAGTGAACCGCAGTTAATGCGAAAGGTCGAAGCTTGTACATGAGTTTCTCGTTTAGTGTTGAAGATTATGGTCTTCTGGGGTGTGACGCCGTACAGTCTCAGGAGGAAGCTGCTGTCTCCAGCTGCCTGAAGATGAACAGGTTTCTCCCAAAAGTTGGCAACTAACTACCAAATCAAACAGCGTCACATCCCATAAGACCGTATCTTGGAAACCTATTACTAATAGCGAATAATTATGCCTATGGTAATAGAACCTGAAAGTTCAACACCAATATCAACGCAAGCAATTGCGCAAAAGCCTCAAACATTTCCATCAACCTACCACTTGAACAATGTGAACATTTTGAGATCCATCTTAAAGTTTTCTGTTTCTTAGTCTTCCAAGTAGACATTTATCAAGAGGTCCCCCATCGAAATCCTTGTCTTCTATATTATATCACAACCGGCCCATAGACGATAAAATTCTACCGGACTACACGGCGTCACACTCCAGAATACAGTACTCTTCACAGATCATCCTTATGAGAACCTCGTATCTAACAAACATGTATGTTGTTAGCTCAAAAGTATTTTTTAATTGCTGGTGGTGTGGGACTAAGTCCCTTGTACTGCGGCCACTTCTGGCCTATTGTACCAGCCCCAGATGATAGGTGAGGGTGATTGTGGAGTAATTGGTGGAATGAAGATTGGCAGGGAAACCGATGTACTCGGAGAAAACCTGCCCCAGCGTCACTTTGTCCACCACAAATCCCACTTGACCAGACCCGGGATCGAACCCGGGCCGCCGCGGTGGGAAGCCAGCGACTAACCGCTTGAGCTATGGCGCGGCCTAGCTCAAAGGTAAAGACCGTATTTCAGACCCGTACTGAGTAAAGAGCAAAACTGTTAATTTGTAAATCATGGCCTTCAATATTTAGGAAATGAAATGGGGTAATATCGGTTTTCGTCGGAGTGAGACGCATTCCAATTTCTAGCAGTTAAATGCCAACATTTTGCAGCACAACATTTTTGCAAAGAATGTACCGAGACCCAAGCCGTGTCAACGTATCTGTTACATCCGTGGCTGAGGGCCGTGTGTTGCTTCCAACGGTAACGAATCAGTCAGCATAACCAACGGCTCTAAATCTGGCTCGGATAAATACCAAGCCGTGTTTAAGTTGGATTAATTAAAAAAACAATCTCCGTGGCTTTAGTCCGGAAGCGAACTATACCGACCGAGCGACCGCCGTTTGTCGGCGAAGTTAGTGCCAACTTTAGCGGACAGAGGGTGTCTCGTGGTCAGCACAGTGAATCCCAACCGCCGTTAATTTCGGTTTTCTAGAATTTTGCTTTCAAGTAGCTTCTCAGTTATCCTCATGAGGCTGAGTGGACCCCGTTTCAGACCCAGAAAACCTGGTAGCACCGGGAATCGAACCCTAAACCTCTGGATATGTAGCAACTCTGACCACTAGACAACAGAGGAAGTCAGTTGGATTAATTGTAAATTAAATTTTCCGTTCTTGTTTGATTTCTTTGATGAACATGTCGGTCTACATAACCACATTTCGACCCTTAAACCCCCGCAATGTACATCAGATGTAGGGTCTTAATGTCAGTTAAGAGTTGTAATGCAGCCTTCGAAGTCATATACAAAGCACCGACATATTTATTCGCAGTTATCGATTTTAGTAGCTGGGCCCGGCCAGTCAGAATGTGGAGGGCTCTATCACTAAAGACAAATATAGGAGATAAAATACTTTTGCTCTTATAAAAACTAACTTCGTGGAGTTGAGCCCTTCTTGAGAAGTCGTCAGTTGTGCAGCTACTCGAGAATTTCCCGACATTTTATGGAACCCGAAGGTTCATTACCGTATTCACAAAAGCCCTCCACATGTCCCTATTCTGAGCCACATAAATCAAGGCCATCCGCCCCAGCCTCTCTCTCTAAGATCCATTTTAATACTATCCATCCACCTATGTTTTGATCTTCCTAGTAGTCTATTTCCTTCTGGCTTTCCAACATATATCCTCTATGCTTTCCTCTTCGCCCACATCCGTGCTACATGCCCTGCCCATCTCACCCTCCTTGACTTGATCATTCTAATTATACTTGGAGAAGAGTACAAGTTATGAAGCTCCTCATTATGCAGTTTTCTCCAACCTCCCGTCTCTTCATCTCTCTTCGGTCCAAATATTCTCAATACCCTGTTCTCAAACACCCTCAGTCTATGTTGCTCCCTTAATGTCTTATTTATTATTAATTCATTCATCAAAGGCTCTTCAGCCCTTTGTTGGGCCCTGGCCTCTTCTTCAGTTTCGTAATTTTTTACACAGACGGTAAGACTCCTTGGACGGGGGATCAGCGCGTCGCAAGGCCGATGCCTACACAGAGGACAACATAAAACAGAGAATAAATGCAAACACAAACACCGTGCCTCGAGCGGGATTCGAACCCACAATCCCAGTGATCGAGCGAGCGAAGACAGTTCATACCTTAGACGGCGCGGCCATTGTGACAGGCTTTCGTGTGTTTTAGAGAAGCATATATCTAATTAAACTCTATGAAATTTATTTTTTTTTCTTTAGAGGATCTCGGGTGACCGTCAGCGCTGGTCCACTGAAATCTGTTCCTATTGCCTAGGCATGTATTTCCCTAAGCTTTAGGTATGCTCTAAATATAGGAAGGTGCCTACATTGTCGTACATCCTCTTTGCGGTTTTCCAGCCGAGTTCAGTAAGCAGCAGTGACTGCTTCACCTACACAATTTCACTCCCTGTCGAGTCCTGGTAATGTAAATGGATGGTTGTTTACCAGGCAGAGGGCAGTTTTTAATTTAGTGCAAGCAGTATACACTTACCCCGATACAGGAGCCCCGCCAGAGCTCAAGCGGTTAGTCGCTGGCTTCCCACCGCGGCGGCCCGGGCTCGATCCCGGGTCTGGTCAAGTGGGATTTGTGGTGGACAAGGTGGCCCTGGGGCAGGTTTTCTCAGAGTACTTCGGTTTCCCCTGCCAATCTTCATTCCACCAATTGCTCCACAATCACACTCACCTATCATCTGGGGCTGGTGCAATAGGCCAGAAGTGGCCGCAGTACAAGGGACTTAGTCCCACCCCACTAGCAATAAAAGAAATATCCCGATACACGCTACAACGCAATTATATGCTGAAGTATCATCTGTAAGTAGATAAGAACCACAAATATCAAATTTTCTTTTTTTCTTTTTGAGTTGTTTTATGACATCGCCAGTATTTAGCCCGCAAGTAATCAAATGTTGTATGCAGAAGGTAGTCTGTTCGAATGGTCGGAGTTCCTAGTTACAGATCCAGAGGTCCCGGGTTCGATTCCCGGTGCTACTAGCTTTTCTGAGAAGTCGTGGGTATGGAACGGGGTCCACTCGGCCTCGTGAAGATAATTGAGGAGCTCTTTCAAGGAAATAGCGGCTCCGGTCTAGAAAATCGAGATTAACGGCCATGGGGATCCCTTGCGCTGACCACATGACACAATCTATCCGCAAAAATTGACACTAACTTCGCCGACAAGCGGCGGTTGCTAGGTCGGTTTAGTTCGCTGGCGGACTACAGGCAACGGAGTTTTTCTTTAGCCTCTTCGAATCTTTGCCCGCACACCGTTTAACCATGACTGAGGGTTCACGTGACTTCCTTCCGGGTTCTTTCCAGTTCACCTATCATCTACCCTGCAACACTGCATAATGTTGATGCTGACAATGAGGTGAAATGAGCATCAGCAATAACGTGACAGTGATCCCAGTCTTGGAGCGGTACAACTTCTCTTCTTTTTGAGAGTAGAATTGGGCAAGACCCTCTGCTGCTCAACTGAGGCTAAATAATAAAAGGTAAAGCTAACCCTGTAACAGGCCTTGAAGGCCAATAGCGTTGTGAGACGTCGAGGGTCTTACATTTTCTCTAGAACATCGGCTCAGAGACGGCGGTGATGTCAGCTTTACACTCCGGCCGCTTTTTACCTTCCAGGAAGATTCCTGATACTCATTTCTGTTAGAGGCTGAGTCGACTCCAGGGCCATAGTGCGGCTGGAAGAATTAGATCAATTGAAAAATCTGATCTCATTGGGAATGTAACCCGAGACCTTCCGGCTTGTAGCATAGTGCCTCAAGGAACTTCGCTACCGCGTGCTGAAGACATATGGAGAGTGGAAATAAAGCTTCACCATTCTTGACATCTTTAATGGAACTACAAATAATGAAATGTGTGAACTGTTATTTATGGAGGGAAGCTGCGCATATATTGAATAAGCAGTCGCGGACAGCCGACAATTGGTGATCCTCCAGTTTGGGGGTTGGACGTAGGGCTAACAACTCCTCACCGTAAAAATAAGCCTGTTACGAAAATGTACACAAAGCCTCGGACCTGCACGGATCCTCTGGACAAAGGACCTAGACTTGTATTCTTCTCCAAGTATAATTAGAATGATCAAGCGAAGGAGGATGGGGTGGGTAGGGCATGTAGCATGTATGGGGGAGATGTAGAATGCATGTAAGATATTGGTGGGAAAGCCAGAAGGAAAGAGACCACTGGGAAGACCAAGGCGTAGGTGGGCAAACAATATTAAAATTGATCTTGAGAGAGATAGGATGGGATGGTACGGATTGGTTTGATCTGGCTCAGGAGAGGGACTGTGGAGGGCTCTTGTGAACATGGTAATGAACTTCGGGTTCCATAAAATGCTAGAAAATTCTTGAGTAGCTGCAGAATTGGCGGCTCCTCCAGAAGGGCTCAGCTCCATGGGTAAGTGACCTCTCTTTAATTTTGCACGGTACAGTGTGAGACCAGCCATCACAGATGGACAGGTAACGTTCTGGCTTCGCATTCGGTAGATACTAGGTTCAAGTCTTGGCCCTGAGCCTGGTCATTCTGGCACGTTTATTCTGAGTTGTTCTGTACAAATGCGGTAATACAATATCACATTAAGCCAAAATGGCTTTCTTTCCAATTCCTTGTTTACTAATAATTCTATAATTCGATGGTATATAGCCTGACATAGTGACAACATACTTACCTTACTCCTGGAGCTGAGCCCTTCTTGAGAAGCCAAATCTGTAGCTACTCAAGAATTTCCCAGCATTTTGTGGGACCCGAAGGTTCATCATCGTGTTCACAAGAGCCCTCCATTTTCTTTCCTTCTGGTTTTCCCACGAATATCCTATATGAATTCCGCTTCTACCACATTCGTGCTACATGCCATGAGATGGTGATAGCATTATTGGATAAATCATAAATAAGTAAAACTGGTTCCTGGTCCTCAAAATAATTCCTAGTGTTTCACCGGCAGTGAATCCGAAAGACTGTGGAAATACTGCACTGGGCTGACATCTCTTGGGCAGTGTTTATTGTCACCAGAGGTATAGCGGGAGCAGTGCAACCTCCCAGTCTCAGTCGATAAGAATGGTGCCGTTAGTACCATCATCTACTTAATGAGTTCGAAGTTCACAGCGTATCCAAGTAAATGCTTTACGACGGTATGGTGATAATTCCAAATAGGGCAACATATCGCTCACTTGTCGGTGACAAAGTTTAAAAACATACATTTATAGAGAATTTTTTCCCCTCGCATTCCGCTACAAGTTAGACAACCAGCGAATTTGCTCACGAGGGCAAGCAAATTTTTCTTCGCTACTAGAAAGGCAAGCCAGTCTCCTGTCCAGCACGAACTGTGGGTAAATGGTTCAGGATCTAACGCTGATCAGCCATCTCCGCCTAATGCACAAGTTACTGCGCGGAGCTTCACGTCCTCACGATCCTGTGCCTAAGCCAAGGTTTCTCAAGCTGTGGGTCGCGACCGCCCGACTTCTAAAGAATTGTTTAAAATATGGTTATGTTCAAGAAAATTTTTGCCGATCAGTAACGCAGGATGGACCGACTCTGTGGTCTAGTGGTCACAGTCCCTGGCTACAGATCCAGTTCCCGGGTTCGATTCCCGGCGCTACCAGATTTTCTGATAAGTAGTGCTCCTGGAACGGGGTAAACTCAGCCTCGTGAGGATAATTGAGGAGCTATTTCAAAGAAATAGCAGCTCCGTCTATATATCCGAAATTAACGGCCGTGGGGATCCGTTGTGCTGACCACGCGACAACCTCTATCCGCTGAAGTTGGCACTAACTTCGCCGACAAGCGGCGGTCGCTCGGTCGGTATAGTTCGCTTGAGGACTGCAGGCCACGGAGTTTGTTTTTTGTTAGAAACAGTACATAATCTTTCTTATCAATAATTTAAGAAATGTACAGTGAAACAGCTCTACCTCGGAAACCATTCACAATAGGACACATGTGTTTATACAGTTTTTTGCTTAGAATGACCGATAATATGACCTCCCAGAATACTGACCTTTCCTCCTGGGACATTATATATAACATCAACAGAATCATGTTTCTTGAGTTGCTTTCAGGTTACAATAAAATTTCCTCAACAGAGATCTCACGTTTGTGATATGTCTTGGGAATAGCGCTATAACCAAGGTTAACTTTGTTTTCTTCTCAACGTTTTTGAAACTTTAACGCTAGTCTGTGTACGGAACCACTGTGCACATAAGTTACAGTTGAGAGTATCCTACAGACAAAAGCACAATAGACCACTGTAGGTCGCGGTGCAAGGGCCGAGGCCTACCCCTCATACATACATTCATCCTACAGGCAACAAAATTGTTTCTTCACAACTTAATGTTTAACAAAATTTATTATTTTCTCCCATTTGATTTATATTTTCCAGGACTTACAATTGATTTATCTTAAAACGATAAACCGAATATACAGCTTGAAGCGTCATAACAATAGCTAATAGATACAAAACGTGTTAAAAATAATTAACTGTTATTATAAAAGACAAAACAATCCGTCCAGTGTGACTGTTGAAGTTTTTACTACTTCAATTCTTAACACCCAAACATGTTTCGGTCCCTACATACCATCATCAGAGGGACATCAATACTCTTTGGAAATCACTATTACAGTGGGTGTTCTGAATGTTAAAATATATATACATACAATGTTTGTAATGCACAATATATACAAAATCCAAAGTTTTCAAAACTACAGCGGTTGTCTTGGTATATTAAAGTTTTTTAAAACTTTTGTTATTTAAGTGAAATTTATAAACCAAACAGGTTGGTGTCCCTTCTCTTATCGCCTTTCTTGACGGGGGCCGAACTTGTGCTGCCTCTCTTTCTTGAGAAGGAAGTTCTTTGATATCGTCCTGTGTTTGTTCATGGCGTGCCACGGACACGAACCTATTTGGTTTATAAATTTTAACTTAAATAACAAAAGTTTTAAAAAACTTTAATATACCAAGACAACCGCTGTAGTTTTGAAAACTTTGGATTTTGTATATATTGTGCATTACAAACATTGTATGTGTATATATTTTAACATTCAGAACACCCACTGTAATAGTGATTTCCAAAGAGTATCGCTGTCCCTCTGATGATGGTCTATAGGGACCGAATTATGTAAGGGTGTTAAGAATTGAAGTAGAGTACAAACTGTAACAGTCACACTGGACTTTTTTTTATCTTTCATAATATTGTTAATGTGACCAGCCAGAATGAAACAAATCAAATTGATTGTTAACATCATCTCATTAATTTGTGAGATCGGATATGTATCAAATCGCTAAGTACAAAAACAAAACATTCAGTTTTACATCTAAACAACATTGGAATGTTAAAAAGACTGATGGTCATTTCTCATATATGTACTTACAACAGCTCATGAATTCTCACAAAAGCATTTGTAACTTTGTTTAATAATAACAATAACAATAACAATAATAATAAGTAGACGCACCTTCAGACGTCTTAATACATATATGTATCTAATGTAATTGCCCTTTTCCAGGCAGTAACCTGGGAATTCCCAGAGAATTCCTGTATTCTTAGTTACCCGGAATGTTTCTGAATGGAATTAAGACATCTCACTTTCTCCTTATGTATAACAAATGGAGATATAAAACAATTATCGGTACTGTGTTAATATAAATTATAATGTTCCATGTGGGACTGTTCTTGTATGATTCACACTGCACTCAGTGGCACGTTGATGAACAGAATTAAAGTCCGGTAACCTTGGAGGCCAGACCTTTAGTGCTTACTGATGCAAAGAGTAGAGATCTCAGACACGTAAAGCTCTGTAAGTGATTTGGGGTATTCCTTTTGGTTGTTCTCAGACAGAATGTTCATCACAGTAGCCATTTTTTATTTTGAAAAATGTACACAAATAAAAAAGATCTAGGCAATGCGCATCCGGCCCCTGCAGCAAAGTCTTATAAACATTTAATTCTATTATAGTGGTCACCCAGCGATTTTTTTAATATATCTCGTTACTCTAAGGGTAGACTATTATTATTTTGTACATTTACTTCCTCTATATATATAAATTTATGAGGTAACAGATGCCTTGCAGAAGTATTTCTTCCTCTAGTTTCAAGAGCTCTGTAATTGACTTTGGGTATTCTTTTTTGTTGTTCTCATACAATGTCAATCATTGCTGCTATTTTTATTAAAAAAAATAAATATGTGTACAAACATGGCCTAGGCAATGGTCCTCCGACCCTTTGTTGCTAATAGATTGCATATGTGTGTTTTTAGTGCTTCACATATTACATTATGTATATCAATGTATGTGACATTCATATGTAATCTGTCTCTGTTGATTTTATATATGTGGCATCCTTCTGACATGTTTAAGTATTTGTTCTCTGTTTTTATAACGTCCATAGTATTATGTATACTCCTGTATGCATGTACCATGCTGAGTATATGGTTCGAATATCCCGAATTGATTTTATTCTTCCTAAAAAGCACACACAGACAATTAGGAATAATAGGAATTCGAGATATTCGAACCACATACGGGAGTATAATGCTATGAACATTATGAATGATGAGAAAAAAAGGAAAGCAGTAAAACACGTTGGAAAGACACCACACGTAAGACGGTGAATAGGAAGTTATGATTATGAATTTTTTCACAACACGATTTATACGCGTACAGATTAATTTACATCTGTTCAATCACTTGTCAGTAAACTAATATCTACAACTCAGTCAAAACGTCCATTCATTCAACAACTTGTATAAACATCTACGAGGACAAACAAAATGGCGAAGGAAAATCTTGTACTTTTACTGAAGTTTTGAAGATCTGAAAACAATTTCTACCCGCATATTACATTGTGGCTTAGGAATACGGATTCATGGATCCTTGATCTCTGATGTGTCTCTCCTCATTTGACTGTGACGTCTGCATTCTTGCAGTTCCCTTCATCAAGACTGTGTGGAGACATAAGGGGCAGGTTGTTCTCATTAGAGAACGCTTCTTGGTTGGTTCTTTCCGCAGCTCGTATCCTATTGAACATATGAAAGTGATTCTGTATTTCAGCAGTCTCTTGCACATCTTTAATTAAACGTCTATGTATTAAGACCGTCAATAATGCAACAATCATTAAAATCTTTCGTAAAATTCTATTTCACCCCGTAGAGGGCGTCGTTCATTTGTCTCAAGGACGACGCCCTTATGAGGTGGAATAGGATTTTACGAAAAAGATTTTAATAAAAAAATTTTAATGAATTTTAAGTAATTATTTATGTTATTTTAAGTGGAATGCAACGCGCAATTTTAGCGTGCATCAAAGCAGTGTAACAGTTTGGGCGCATTGAAACACCTGAGGATGGCCATCTGCGGTCGAAACATGTTGTGTTAGTGTTAAATCGTGAATATTTTAATGATTTTTGCATCATTGGCGGACTTAATACATAGACGTTTAATATGAAAGTGAGAATGTTTCCGTTTTTGAATGTCAGTAGATATCCACAGTTGAAATATCGAAAAGAAATGTCTGTATTAACGCATTTGTCAATTATCAATTAATTTCATTACAATTTCAAAGCGGAATATAAAATTTGATTTGGTTCATCCTGGTCCGTCACACTAGCAATATTATAAAAGGTTATCAACTCAGTCCAGTGTGATAGATAAATGTTTCTTTTCTCTTATTTTTAATCTTTCGTCCTTGACATGTTTCGGTCTGAGAGGCCATCTTCAGGAGGATATATCAATACAAGTGGGAACTACTATTGCAATGTGACTGGTCAATATCATTCCAATGTATATAAAACCTGAGCATGTAACAATTACCGCGACGCGCATGAATACATTAAAATATTTATAAATTAAAAATTATTATAAAAATTAAAAGCCCTATATTTTCTTGTACAGTCACGCAGTAGAGTAGTTGGTCGAGGCACTATGCTACAAGCCGGAAGGTCACGAGCTCGATTCCCGATGAGGTTATTGGATTTTTTCAATTTAACTAACCCAGCCGCACTATGGCCCTGGGGTCGACTCAGCCTCTAACAAAAATAAGCAGCAGGAAAACTTCCTGAGGGGCGCCGTCGGCGCGTATGGCTGACAACCTTACCGCCATTTATGAGCCGATTGTCTAGATAATGTGGGAACTTCGACGTCTCACAACCCTATGGGCCTCCACGGCCTGTTACAGGGATACCTTTACCTTTTAGTACTTGAGGTGCAAGCCGTGGCCTCCCGTTTTCTGAACTTCGGAATCTAATTCGACAGACATTTTATGGTCTCCTTGAAACAGAATCAGTTCATAGTAAAACCCTTACCTTAACAGATCCACAGAAGCACAGAGAAGACCCATTCATCTATATCTTAAACCTCAGTGTTTGACGATACCGAGCGTCCACTCTGAGAATAACCGAGGTACTCGGAGAAAACCTTCCTACTGCCCCTTTGCCCACCATAAATCCCACAATTACTTCCCTGGCAATGAATCCGAGACGCTGTTACGAGAAGCCGATTTAAGTTATTGCACAACATATGTAACTGGCTGGTTAGTGCGTCCATCAAGTCAGCCATGTTATCAGAAATTAGAAATAAACTTACCCTTTTCGGTGTCGAGACCAGCTCCGCTTTGTTCTGCCCAGGATTTTGGGCAGTGCAGGAAAGGTCAATATCAAAAGCCCCAACAACAGAAAGCTGATGGAGCAATACAGCCCCACGATAGGTACCGCTAGCAACATTCTGACTGACTCTGCAAATTCCGGTGTAATTCTTGCGTTTTCTTCAAACCATATCATGGGGAAGAATAAGGTGGGCACATCATTGAACAGCCTGAAATTATACAAAATATAGCCAGGTAACAATTACACTCCAGGAAGAAATTCTACAGTTTGGCCTCCCCCGTCACCAGACTTCACTTTTCTTCGCATTAAATATTATCGAGAATTTACTTGTAATTATGCAAAATAAGGCTGCATTCTTTTAAATGTAGCATATTCTGTGACTGTTAAATATCCTACTCTGGTAATCTTAAAGGATTTTCTACAATAACTTACAATTTACGCGTGTCAGCTTGAATATTTTTAAAATATGTGTCAAGCGTGTCCTCAATTTTGAGTTTGTATGGATGGAAGTTTGGATGGAAGTTCCTGAAGAAGTTCGTTTAATAATTACTGTTTAACTAAATGGGGTCTCACAATTATATCGTTCCAGGTTTTCCCATATTTCCACTTCTAAAACATACAATAATGCAACTAACGAGCTCCATGTAGCTGAGTCTTCTTGAGAAGCCAATACTTGTTCAGCTGCTCAAGATACGGAATTTCATTACAGTGTTCACAAAAGCCCGCCTTGGTCTCTACCCGTGCCAGAATAAAACAGTCCGCATCTGACTTCACCATCCTCGAAGATCAATGTAAATACTGAAGGCAGCAGCCTCTGGGGCTGTAACACGGCGTAGTTCGGAGAAAGTCCGACGTTTCGGAGGAACATACCGCAAGTAAGGCAAGCAAGGAACCAGCAGAAGCAGGCGGCAAGCTTTACTTTTCGACAGGGAAGATGGAGGTTATATATTCCGAAACGTCGGGTTGCGACCTATACGGCGATTAATTCCAGAAGATAGTACCCTTCATAATCACCGCCATAATAACTTCTAGAATGAAGTATTTGAATATCATCCACCCCATCTACAACAAGATTTTCCCAGTAAGTTTCTTCCAGGTTTGCCTACTAAAATTTGTATGCGCCGATCACAATGGCCGTGCGGTCTAAGACACGAAATATCTCCATAAAATCTGGGATAGAATCCCACTCGAGGTATGTATGTCTGCGTTCTTGCGACGGACTGATCCCCCATTCAAAGAGTCTTATCAAATGTCTGTAAGATTGGAACAGGCCAGAGACCTAAATCCATCAAAGGAAAAATAAATTTGTATGCAATTCTCTTCTCTCTCATGCGTCCTACACGTCCTGCCCAGCCCATTACACTTGAGTTGATCATTCTAATAACAAGGAACAAGTGATGAAGCTTTTCATTACGTATTTTTCTCTCGACCCCTCTTATGTCCTCCCTCCTTTGTCAATATATTGTCATGAGTACCCCGTTCTAAAATAGTTTAAAAATAATACATACGCATAATACATATATAGAAAAAGTGTAGAGTATAAAGTTTATGTATCTGAGTATGTGTGTGTCTGTACATACAGGTAACATAAAGATTTGAAATTTTCACAGCGGTGACTATGGAGGTTATTGCATTTTGGAATGTGACGCCGTTTAGTCTGATGGATTATTATCAACGTCTCGGAAGAACAATTTGCCTCCAACTTCAGAGTAGACTCTCGAAAATCGTCCGTCCTCTACCACGAAGGTGGAAACAACATGTACCTCCGAAAGTTTATAACAAAATGTCAGACTCCATGGCGTCTCACCCAGAAGACATGAGATGTGAGCGATATTAATGGAGCAAAAACTGAAGTTTCACTGTAAACATTCAGTTAGAATATTTCCCGTGCAACAAGACGATATTACCAGATACGTACCCAATTCCCTTATAGGGTTGTAACAGCAAGTTTATCTGGAATCTTGCCGCCACTTCTAGGGGGATGCCGGTAATCTGAAACAAATATTTCATTGTCGTCTCATATGCTGAAACAAGCTGCTGTGTCCATATTGCTGTACGAGGTCAGTTATGTAAGTGATTAATGCTTGGCAGGTTAAAGCTGGGTACTGTGAAACTTATGTGATAAAAAGACGCATGCGCGTCGAGTTCCTGTGCCATGAAGATAAAAAAAATGTCCGGCTACCTGACTGACTTTCATTAGACCAATCATTAATATGTCACCGTGCAAATGCACTCAAACAATGCCACTTTTGTACTGGGAATGTAAAAGTTTTGCATGGGTGTGAAACTTGGTCTCTGAAATAAAGGGAGGAACATAGACTGAGGGTGTTTGAGAAGAGGGTATTGAGAATATTTGGACCGAAGAGAGATGAAGTGACAGGAGGTTGGAGAAAACTGCATAATGATGAGCTTCATAACTTGTACTCTTCTGCAAGTATAATTAGAATGATCAAGTCAAGGAGGATGTGATGGGCAGGGCATGTAGCACTAATGGGGGGAGAAGAGGAAAGCATATAGGATATTGGAGGGAAAGCCAGAAGGAGAGAGACCACTGGGAAGACCAAGGTGTAGGTGGGTGGCCAATATTAAAATGGATCTTAGAGAGATAGGGTGGGATGGTATGGATTGGATTGATCTGGCTTAGGATAAGGACTAGAGGAGTACCCTTGTGAGCAGGGCAATGAACTTTTCGGTTCCACAAAATGTTGAGGAGTTCTTGAATAGCTGCATAATTGGTGGCTTCTCAAGAAGGGCTCAGCTCCATGAAGTTAGTTAGCAAGTTATTGGGAATGTAAAAACTTAGTTACCCCTGTGCTTAACTAATTAAGCGCTATGTCATAAAAACCGATGAATAAGGGAAGTATAGATTCGCGTATTCTAGACTTCGGCATCAGTTAGTGACTGGTCAACTTCACGCCCTGGCCGCTTTACCCCCAGAAAATTGTCCCCGGTACTCATTGGGTAGGAGATTGGGTGGGTCTCAGAACCAGTCGGGATGACGTAGAGAGAAGATTCTTGCCCTTATCGGGACTCGAACTCCGACCACTCAACCGCCCAGTGCGTAGCCAGTCGCTGTACTGACTGTTCTATCCCACTCCCCAGTGTTAGGTGGGTGCCGTTCGAATCTCGCAGAGACACCGACTGCCTCACTGAGGTTTTACGTGGTTTTACTGAGTCCATCAAAGTAAATGCTCGGACAATACATAAAATAAGGCATACTTTCCATGTTAATATTCATATCATGCAGCCATTGAACACTACATATTTCGAGTTACAGGTGGCTTCATTAAATCAACAAACCAATAAGAAGACAGAAATACAAACAGTGGTACAGAAAGCATTATGTGAAAGACTGCACTCTACTGAATTTCAGCTTCCGTTCTGATTTCCAGGAATATGTCGCTTCTATGTGCAGGCGAAAACATTTGAATTGAGGCACTATGCCATAAGCTGGAGGGTCGCGGGTTCGATTCCCCATGAAGTCAATGGATTTTTAAATTAACCTTATCCTTCCGGCCGCACTATAGCCGTGGGGTCGACTCAGCCCCCAACAGAAATGAGTACCAGGAATGGTTCTGGGGATAAAGGGAGACAGGCGCGTAAGGATGACAACCACACCGCCATTGGTGAGCCAATTGTCTGGAAAATGTGGGAACCTCGACGTCTCACAACCCAATGGGCCTCCACGGCCTGTTAGAGGGATAGCTTTACCTTTATTATAAATATTGACTGCTGAACTCTTACTGACCGGCTCCAAAGTGAGGTACAGTCTGTGCTTGGCTGGCTCAGGATGCATTCCCTCAAGTCTGTCGCGGTAATATGGATCTGCATCTAGAAAGTGAGGATAGGACACGAATCCGGGGGCCCCATAGCGGCATGATGATATGTTGAGGACCCCCTGGGGGACACAGACACCTCCACAGTTGCACAGGTTTTTGGGGTCGGCAGTCCCGTTGTCCATAATTGACTTGCTGCCAACATAAATATACCCAGGGACGCCCTCCACTTCTGTGTCTTCAAAATAGTCTAAATCAAGGGGCCTGAAATGAAACAATTACATTTAAAAATAAATTCATAAAGTGAAATGAGACTAAGTCCACCTGGTAGCCACGCCATACCTCAAGCGGTTAGTCGCTGGCTTCCCACCGCGGCGGCCCGGGTTCAATCCAGGGTCTGGTAAAGTGGGATTTGTGATGGACAAAGTGGCGCTGGGGCAGGTTTTCTCTAAGTACTTCGGTTTCCCCTGCCAATCTTCATTCCACCAATTGCTCTACAATCACCCTCACGTATCATCTGGGGCTGGTACAATAGGCCAGAAGTGGCCGCGATACAAGGGACTTAGTCCCACCTCACTAGCAATAAAGGAAAGTCCATCTGTTAGCCCCGCCAAAATTGGGCCTATTGTATCAGCCTCGGATGATGCTGATGAATAAAATCTCCTGTTCATACGGCTCTGAACATCTTGTAGCGTGTGCCTCTGTGTGTCCCGCAAAAAAATCTTTCGAATCAACTTCCATATTCGTGTTCTGCCTCCATTATCGAGCTCTCGCCCACAGCGTCCTCTTTATGCAGGATGACCCCTTCGGAGGAGACCCCAAGTAAATAATTATAAATTAGATGGATGGATGGATGGATGGATGGATGTGAAGATAACTGGTTTACCAATGATGCTGAAATTGGTTTCTCTCCCCCGGGAGACTCAGGCCGACATATCGCGCCATTTTCCCGAATGCGGCAACAGTGTAACATGAGGGATCAGAAACCTAAGGAAATGGCGCGAATCAAGCAGGGAGGGGACAAATGCCGCAAAATATACGGTGCTGTCAAGTTTCGTTTTCATCGGTAAATTTTGGCGTGATTTATGATTATTTATTGGAGCCGCCTCGATGTGAATCGCCTTGTAAAGATTATCACGCAACACGCGCAACAGGTGTGTCGGAGAAGTTGCCGCTACAACACGGCGCTGTCGCAAATTCGTGATCCGTCTCTTGCAAATATAGAGAACAAAATGCAAGACTAGACTGTTCTCCCTTAAAGGGGTGATACCTGTGTCAAATATAGGGTGTCAGGATGAAAGGTATCCAAAATAAAAATTTTTATCTCGGAAACTATTGTCATACACGTATCGGGTTTATGTCATCGGAAAGGAAAACTGGAAGTTTTTTTTTTTTCATACCCGGCTTACACGCATGCGCCACCACATTTTCGCCACCATGTTAGGAATCACCTGGACAGAGATGGCTGGGATATGAACTGGCAGAGGTGGACCAATCGCTTGGCCTTCTAGGTCGCTAGAGTTAACCCCAGTGGATTTCTTCTTGTGGGGTTGTGTGAAGCACATTGTCTGACAGGTTAAGATCAACGACCTGCAACACCTGAAAGCCCGCATAAGGGACGCTGTGGCTACGGTAACACCAAACATGCTTCAAGCCTGGATATTTGTCATGCCACCAAGAGAGCCCGTATTTAAATTTATTGAGAAAGTTATATATGCAGAGAAAAACTTTGATAGTTTCCCTTTGTAACTGCGTAATTAATTAATGTGTATGATAAATTCTTCCTGAAATATAATGATGTTATTTTGGATACCTTTCATCCGGACATTCAGTATTTTGCAGAAAACTGGTACACCTAATTAAAGCGTAGCGTAGCGACTTAAACAGAATATATGCAGCGCCATAGCTCAAGCGGTTAGTCGCTGGCTTCCCACCGCGGCGGCCCGGGTTCGCTCCCGGGTCTGGTCAAGTGGGATTTGTGGTGGACAAAGTGGCGCTGGGGCAGGTTTTCTCCGAGTACTTCGGTTTCCCCTGCCAATCTTCATTCCACAAATTGCTCCACAATCACCGTCACCTATCATCTGGGGCTGGTACAATAGGCCAGAAGTGGCCGCAGTACAAGCGACACTAACAATAATAAAAAAAATAATAATAAACAGAATATAATATTGAAGAGTACTATGGTCTGCGACGTAACATGGGGTAGTCATGTAAAAGTCAACGAACGTTTCAGATTAACATATGACCCCCACCTTCAAATCCGAAAAGCAAGCCAAATGAGAAACGAGCATGAAGTAGGTAGCAAGTTGAACCGCGCTGGTTTCTTGCTTGGCTTATTCTTTGAACCTGAAGATGGAGGCGATACATCCTTCCGAAACACCGGTTGACTCTCACCAGACTACATAACAATATATCCCAGAAAACGGAACTCTTCGTTGCCACGAATATGAGAACCTCAAATCCCCCGAAAAATATGTTGTAGCATGTAGACCTATTGCTAAGTGGTGAATCTGTAAATAGCGGCTGTTGCTAGGTAATGGCCTTAACATACAAACATGCAACAATACTGGAGGTGTGTTTTCTGTGTGATCCGTGGCGGGGCTACGTATGGAGTTGAGTGAAATGGAGAGAGTTGGTTGGTGAGTGAGTGAGATAGACTGCTGCGGTTCAGTCCTTGTGAGCTGTTGTTGTTAGAAGCTGAGGCATGAGGATAGTTTAAGAAACCCAGAGGAAGGGGAAAGCCCGCCTTTGGAAGCCGTTGTTGAGCAACGTCTATTGAAGACTGTGACAGAGTACTAGTCTGTGTGTGACAGTGATTTGTTAAGTGTAATCACGATTTGTGTGTTAAAACTGTAAAATAAATTCAATTACCAATCCAAACCCCTTCTACAGTCACTTCATTCAGCAATACTATTAGCCTCGTCTTACTTGCAGAATTCAGCAGAAAACATTTTCACAGGTGTATTCTTCTTCTGTCCCGGAGGATACAGGTCACCAATTGTGCCTCTGACCTCACCACACTCATCTTCATAGAAATTGGAGCGATTCTTAAAATTCCATGACCTGACAAGTCCGATTCTTGAGATATCTTCCTCTCCTGTTTCCATATTGAAATGACCGTCCTGTTCTGAAGTGTTATTTCTCCTGTAGAACCAGGCAAATTTCTCTGCTGGAAATTGGGACTGTGCCAGGTGAGGTACATGTGAAGCAATGGTGAGAAGTGGGTCGCTGTAACCGTCATACAGGAACTCGCTTACTGTCTTGGTGAGCGAAAGAGTCTGCCCAGTCATGCGGAGCGCGCTGGAGAGCGTGTAGATTATGAAGGAACTGCGAAAGCGAGAAGCATAGGCAGCAGCCTGAAACAAGAACAGATGTGCATGAGGCCTCTGTGGTCTAGTGATCAGAGTTCCTGGCTACAGATCCAAAGGTTCCGGGTTCGATTCCCTGCGTTACAGGTTTTCTAAGAAGTAGAGGGTCTGGAATGGGGTCCACTGAGCCTCGTGAGTATAATTGAGGAGCTATTTCAAAAAAATAGCGACTCCGGTCTAGAAAACCGAGATTAACGGCCTTGGGGATCGGTTGCGCTAACCTCGTGATACCCTCTATCCGCAAATTTTGGCACTAACTTCTCCGACAAGCGGCGATCGCTCGGTTGGTATAGTTCTTTGCGGACCACAGACCACGGAGTTTCTATCAGTCTAGATATTGCTTACCGAGCTTTCAAATGAATCTACTTCAATTAGATATGTAAAGATGGAGGAAGCATGTTCATTCGAAACGTTGGTAATATTGAGCAAGTGCGCACGATGTCATAACTACAAATTAAGATACACAAAAAGTTCTTGGACGAACTAATCTCCTACTTTCCTAACAACTTTGTTTTTTTCAAAATAAGGAAAGTATTGGACTTATTTAGACAGCCGTTGCCTAGCAACGGTAGAGTAGCTACACGCAGACAGCCAGGTGACCTCGTAATCCTTCATTTATTGTTCAAAATAAGGCAAGTAGGCTAAAAAATGAACAAACCCATATAATATGTCCCAAAATCACATGTAATTTGAACTTTGTATAGGAAAACCCGAAGAATAATCCTTAAATATTAAAATAGGTAACGTAAAGCTATTCCTGTAACAGGTCATGGAGGCCTATACGGTTGTAAGAATCGGCTCATAGATGGCTGTGAGGTTGTCAGCCATAGGCGCCGGCCGCCCTTTCTCCCCAGGAAGATTCCTGGTGCTCATTTCTGTTAGAAACTGAGTAGACGCAAGGGCCATGGTGCAGCTGGAAGGATTAGGTCAGTTGAAAAAATCCAATGACCTCATCAGGAATCGAACCCGCGACCTTCCGGCTTGTTGCATAGCGTCTCGACCAGCAACGCTATCGCTACCGCGTTCCGAATCGCGAGTTCTAATCCCCTCTGGTTTGGTTGCGTGCCTACTCCCTTATCCACACAGACCCAGCGAGTGCCTGAAGAAGAACCACTGTATCGGATTCGTTTGGCGGAACTGACGGGAACTACGAAGAATCTCGAGACACCCTGATCCATGGCTGGCATTCGAATCCGTTACTGTCGGAATACAAATCAGACGCCTTGCTTTTGTGCTGACGTGCCCGAACACATAGCAGTGTTGTAGAAACAGAGGTGCTCATGCAGAATACTAGTCTCTGAGCTGTAACACCGTGTAGTGTGGCAGAACTTTACCGACGTTTCGGAGGAATATACTGCTTCCATCTTCAGGAACTAAGAGGAATTTGAATAAATTTGACGCTTCAAAATGTTAATCGAGAGTATTGTGACATGTATACCCATTGCCAGGCAACTATTCGGTAGACATACTCCCGCGGGAGCAAACGCGTGCACGTCCATTGCTAGGCAACGGATCAATAAACACACCTCGTTAAAAACAGAGGCTGTATTTTCTGTGTGGTCCGTGAAAATTGATTATAAAGAAGGGTTCAGTTGAGAATGGTCAGTTATCAGGAGTTGAGAGAGTTCATTCGAAGAAGGTCGTTTGAGTTAGATGTTGTCGAGAACTGGGTCGGGTTTTGGAGATGGCAGTCGAAGGCGATTGGGTAGAAATGGCAAGAAATGAATTAAAATGTGCAAGGAAGACTGTGTATGTGATTTGAAATTACAATGAGACGGTTATATATCCGTTGTTGGATACGACTAGTGAAGACTGAGAATTCCTGTGCGTGTGTAAAGGTGAACTTTACACTGTGTAGAACAACAATGGAGCTGTATTGCCTGTAGTCCCGACTGGCGGTTTACCGGTAATCAGTTCGTCTTGGTGTCAAGCCCCTTGAGACACACCATCAGAGTTTTTTCAACTGAACGCTTGCGACATGCAGCATGCATTGCAGAGATAATAAATACAGAATCGTAAATCATCCATACTTACAGATTACATGCCGCAGAAACCACTAGAATCACCTAGGAGTAGAAGAGAGTGTTATGTCAGAGTGGATCTTGAGGAGATTGGGTGTGAGGGTAGTCACTGGATTTATCTTTGTCAAAATGGTGGTCAGTGGTGGGCAGTTGTGAACTATGTAACAAAAGAAACGTATCCTCTTGTATGTGACACGGCGCAAGCTGCTACCATTTTACCGTCATTTCGGAAGAGCGCATTGATTCCATCTTGAAAATGGACGAGCAAGCACCAGGCTGTGCGATCTATCTTCTATTTTCTTTTCGCTGGTAGCTTGCTTGTGTTACTCTTTCATCCTGAAGATGGATGTATTAGGTTACGCCGAAATGTCGGTAAAATTCCAAAAGATTACATAACGTCACATACTAGAAGACAGTAGGCCTATTTTTCATTTTTTAAACTGTATGAACTTCAAATGAACATGGTACTCATGTTTTCTTTAAATTAATATTTCAGGTAAATGTTGATAATTACCACAGCCACGGGGTTTAAAGTCGTTACGTTGTCCTTCAGTGATCCATTGGAATTCTCTGCGTCAAAAATCCAAATCCTGCGTCTTCGGAAACTTACTGTCTTGTTGGTATTCCATGTGATGTCTGTCTTCTTCAGGTATTCTCTGTGAAATAAAACGGGGCCATAGTTTCTCGGTACAATACACTTCCTGTTAGTCTGCTCATCTCTGTATGTCTCTACAGTCCTCTGTTGGACCTTGGCAGCTTGTTCAGTTTATTAATCCTATACATAGTCGGTAGGACTCCTTGGACGTGGGATCAGCACGTCACAAGGCCGCTATCTACAGAGGACAACACAAACACAGAATAAACGCACAAAGATGTCCATGCGGGAGAAGAGAGTCCATGGCATAGACCGCGCGGCTACTATGTTCGGCTCTGTCCATCGTCACAGATTTTAAATACCACAATGTTTTGGAAATTGGCTATGTTTCATTCAAACCATGAAAATGAAGAGAATAAACTGAATATATTTTGTTGTGTTCCTATGTAGAACTACTCCCAAATTATGTACTTCTTTTATTAGCTCCCGAATTTTGTTCCATTTTCTTTGTCGTTTCACAATGGTACACATAAAAATACTTGTATTGAGGAGCGGAAAGAAAGTTAAGTCATTTTCGACCAATACGCGATAGAGTAGTTGGTTGAGGCACTATGCTACAAGCCGGAAGGTCGCTGGTTCAAGTCCCGTTGAGGTCACTGCGAAAGCTGCTAAAAAGGCAAATAGCTACAGAGAAAGCAACTCAGCAATTACATTCGCATTAATGGGGCTGGGGGGCACGCGGTAGCGTAGGTGGTTGAGGCACTATGCTACAAGCCGGAAGGTCTTGGGGTAGAATACCGATGAGGTGGATTTTCTTTTTCATTTTACATAATCCTTCCAGCCGCACTATGGCCCTGGGGTCCACTCAGCCTCTAACAGAAATGAGTATCAGAAATCTTCCTGGGGGTAAAAGGCGGCCGGTGCGCAAAGCTGACAATCTCACCGCCATCTGTGGGCCGATTGTCTAGAGAAAATGTGGGAACCTCGACGTCTCACAACCCTATGGGCCTCCACGGTCTGTTACAGGGATAGCTTTACTTTACTTTTTACTTTGACCAATATATCAAGAAATAGCTTAGAGTTTTTCTAGGGACAATATTGATCACTTAATGATTAAAGAACCTGACTTAAGTATTCCCAAATTTCATGACAGTTTGGCAATATAAAAGCCTATACATATATTTTTTAAGATCTTCAAGTGAAATGACAATTCTTTGTGAAGGATCGCACTTGTCAACGAACTTCAGAAATGTCGCTTTACTTACACAAAACAAATCTCATTACATTAGCTTAAATAGGCGCAAGCAGTACCGTAGTTGGTTGAGGCACTGTGCTACAAGCCGCAAGGTTGCGGTTTCGATTCCCGATGAGGCCAGTGGATATTTCAATTGACCTAATCCTTCCAGACGCACTATGGCCCTGAGGTCGACTCAGCCTCTAACAGAAATGAGTACAAGAAATCTTCCTGGGGGTAAAAGGCGGCCGGTGCCTAAAGCTGACAACCTCACCGCCATCTGTGGGCCGATTGTCTAAAGAAAATGTGGGAACCTCGACGTCTCACAACCCTATGGGCCTCCACGGCCTGTTATCTTTATTTTAACATCGATCCGTATTAGTAAATATAATAAATTGGTCGCGCCATAGCTCAAGTGGTTAGTCGCTGGCTTTCCACCGCGGCGGCCCGGTTTCGATCCCGGGTCTGGTCAAGTGGGATTTGTGGTGGACAAAGTGGCGCTGGGGCAGGGTTTCTCCGAGTACTTCGGTTTCCCCTGCCAATCTTCATTCCACCAATTGGTCCACAATCACCCTCACCTATCATCTGGGGTTGGTACGTGTACAATAGGCCAGAAGTGGCCGCAGTACAAGGGACTGAGTCCCACGCCACTAGCAATACAAAAAGAAAATATAATAAATATGAATATTTTTGTTAAATTTCGGGTATTCACAGAGTAACTGCCAACAATTCGATAAATCAATCGCGACGATATATATTCAAGCAACCACGTGAAAATGATCAGACAGGTCGAAATATGTAGCGGTATATAATAAGACTGTAAAGTTGTCCCTGTGCTTAACTAATTACGCACTATGCCATGAAGGCGTATGGGGGAGTGGATGTATAGATCCACATTTTCTTGAATTCGGCACTAGTTGGAGATGAGTGGTCAGCTACACGCCCCGGCAGGTTTAGCCCCGGGGAAAGCACCCCCGGTACCTGTTGGATAGGAGGCTGAGTGGGCCCCAGATCCAAGTCTGGACTACGTGGAGAAGAGAAAATTCTTGACCCTATCGGTCATCCAGCCCGTAGACAGTCGCTATACCGACTGCGCTATCCCGGCTCCTCACGTCCAGCCCGTAGCCAGTCGCTATACCGACTGCGCTATCCCGGCTCCTCACGTCCAGCCCGTAGCCAGTCGCTATACCGACTGCGCTATCCCGGCTCCTAGCGGCAAGTATAATAAAACAAATACTAACAGAGTAATATTCTATTTACTCATGCATCGTGTTGCCGACCGTGATAACGCCCGTAATGATACAAAACAGGATGTAAACAATACTCACTTGAATCGGTAAGGTCCCATCTCCACTAGATTAGGTTTGGAATCTTCATTCATGACTTCTTCAGGGTTGGTCCAGTTGAAGAAGTAGAAATCCAGCGTCAAGGGAATGGGCGTATTTCTCCAGATGGAGTAAACCCTGGACGTTGGCGTCAGCCGTAGTTCCTGGACACAGCGTCAACTCCTGAGTCATGCTTCCGTAACAAGTTTAGTAACAATTCACTAAGGCGATCTGGTGCAACTGTCCCCCCAAATGGAACTATAACAGGCTTATAGACATTTTGTACTCTTATGTACCAGCTCCCGACGGGCTACGGGCTGGACGGTCAGGGTTCGATTCCAAGCAGAGTCAAGATTTCTCTCTTCTATAGAACTTCCAGACCGGGTCTGGGGCCTACCCAGTCTCCTATCTAAAGGGTAAAAAGATTAAGTTGCCCTTGTGCTTAACTAATTAAGCACTATGCCATGAAGGTGTGTGGAGAGTGGATGTATAGATCCACCTCGGCAGTGGCTGGAGGTGATTGGTCAGCTTCACAACTCGACAGCTTTATCTCCGGGGAAATATACCCAACTACCCATTGGATAGGGGGTTGGGAGAACCCCAGTGCCGGTCTGGACGACGTGGAGAAGAGAAAATTCTTGACCCTACCGGGACTGGAACTCCGCCCCCTCAGTCGTCCAACCCGTAGCCAGTCGCTATACCAACTATGCTATCCAGGCTCCAAAGGGTATAGAGGGCGAGTAAAGGGGCGGGAGCGTGAAGCTGACCACTCACCTCCATCTAATGCCGAGGTCAAGAACGGTGGAGCTGTACTTCCACTCCCCCATATGTCCTCATGGCATAGTGCTTAGCTAATTAAGCAAAAGGAAAACTTTACGTTTTTATAGTAAATCGAAGGTCTTGACGGTTATTTCCGGTGTCATGAGGTAAATTTATTTCGTATGGCCGAACATTATTGATTGCCGAAATTCCCGTCTTTTGGGATATGAGAGAGTGACGTCTGGAGAAAATTAGTACTAACTTTTCGGCGGAGTCTCCTGCCTTTACCATCAGAATAATTTCTTATACCCTGAAGTTGGAGGCAGCGGATACCTCCGAAATGTTGATGTCTACCAGATTACACAGTATGAATCAATAAAAAGGACATGTATATTAATATTATCCCCTTGAGAACTTCGATTTCGCAAAAATACTCACCTTTGCTATGATGAAGTTGAAAATACTGTTCCAGCTGAAAGTAAGTATTGTGCCAAGGAGAGCTAGTGATAGGCCAACCCACGTGAGAACCAAGCTTCGATCCATGTGATCTGCACTGATTAGACTCTTCAGTCAGCTGCTGGAAGGAAAGACAATTGCCATAACATTTGGTTTCCTCATACTCGTGTAAGCTTCTCCAGAGATTTTAGCTTGAAATTATTTATGTAAGCATGGGTTTGAAAAGCGGCCTCCGTAGTCTAGGGGTAACGTTCCCATCTCATTACTCAAGGTACGCGGGTTCAAACCCAGCGGAGGTCGTGGAATTTTTAAGGGCGGAAAAATTCAGGGAATAAGTCCTCCGGGAGGGA